ACTAAACCAGTATATCTGAAAATCATTTGAGCAAATTTTCAATTTCATGCACATAACAGGGTCATATTATAAAACAAAATGTACACACTTACACTTGACAGTATGGCCTTTTCTGGTGGCTAACAAAATTATTTACAGTTAGCATCATCTTGCAAACTTCACAGTGAAAGCAGGCTTTATGCCAGATCTAGAAAAGCAGATAGAAGTGGGTGAAAGTTATTTGTCTTTTGAATTTTCTAAATCTACTTTAAAATTTTATAACTAATTTTTCCTGATAGTCTAACAATCAAACACACATGATGTATGGTGTAAATCGTCTCTCCTTTTGAATCTTAAAAAAAAAAGAAGCAGTGCAACAAATTTAGCAGATGTTCAATTCTAACTTGGCCATCCAATAGTTATATTGATTATTATACTTTAGGATAAGTATATTTTATTTATTTGACCAAAAGCTGCTAAATAGACAAATAGTATCAGAACAATTATACAGTAATAATGGCAAATAGTAATTAATTACTAACCTGATCGATGCAATTAATCTTCTCAGCAGGATAGACCCCATAACCACACCTGGCACAAGACTGAATATTCATATTGAAACTATATACAAAAATTTAAAAAAATCTGAGAGTCCAGTAATATATAAAAATGCCTTGTTTCCTAGGAAAGACACTCCAGTCTGTTTGTGCTGTGCTTCTGAGTTGCACTCAGCTGTTGTCTGGTTTTTAAAGCTGTCACTTACTAAGAGAGGTTATTTTGGCAACTGTGATAAGAGTTCATAGAGGGAAAGGGAGGCAAGAATTCAATGAAGCCTTTCTCTAAATAGATGAGTGAAGTCAGAGAGAAGCATCATGGTCATATGAAAATGAAGGATATCTAATTGGTAATATATAAAGTATAGAGTTTAATGCTCATTTGTCAGAGTCCCAGGTTTGCCTTCTAAATATATTTCACATCATCTTCAGATTATTATGTATCAACTAAGAGTCGATTAAGGAAACCACAAAAGGGCAAAGCACTTTCAGAGCAGAGACTAATTCCCAGGTTTTCTTTCTTCTTCCTGCCCTATGTCCTACACAGGTGGGGGAAAAAAACAATACCTATTGTTTTTCATAAAACATGGCACAGGGTGGGATTGGGGATTCCAGAAGTGCCTGAAAGATTTAGCTATATTTCAAGTTGTCTTAGTGAATACCTATTTGTCTTCAGGAATACAACATACCACCACAATCTCAATGTACCACCACAACTGAGCCCAACATTTCTGTTGCTAAGCAAGACATTTGTTAAGTGAATGTTGCTTCATTTTGCAACTTTTCTTCCCAAGTGGAATCACTGCAGTTGTTAAGTTAATGACCCAGTTTTTAAGTGAATCTGGTTTCCCCATTGACTTTGCGTATAAGAAGATTGCAAAAGGTGGTCACATGATCCCAGGACACTGCAAGCATCTTAAATATGACTCAATTGCCAAGCATTTGAATTTTGATCATGTGACCGTTGAGATGCTGCAATGACTATAAGTGTAAAAAATGGTCATAACTCCCTTTTTTCAGTGCTGCTGTAACTTTGAACAGTCACTTAATGAACTGTTATAAGTCAAGGACTATCTGTACAGTTATTCCAGTATCAATAAACAAATATTCCAGCAGACAGGCTATAGGTGAATATGGATGAAGTGATTGAGAACTTGCAGGTACATCACAGAATTCCTCCTTATATCATCCCATATACTTCTTATCCCCTGATGATCGGTCAATGACAGAGAGGAGAGAGAGAGATTTGTGGGTTTGACACAGGAATTATAGATATTCTGGAATATTGATATAGTAGTGCAAAGATTAGTTTCCTGAATAAAAAGAAAATGAAAATGAACCGCCATTCTGTCAGTTTTGACAGATATTGTATTACCCTGTAAGACTTCTATAGCTCACCAACCTCTAGATTTGATTTACTGATTTACTTATTTATTTCTGAAATGGGAATGTCCATCTATCTTCTGAAGATCAACATTTCTGTGTAAAACAAAAAAAGCAAACAAACTTGCTGTTTTGAAAGTGTGGTAATTATGCTTAAAGATGGAGGCCCACATGTGACAGCAACCAGAAATAAACATAGCATTGGAATAGTCTATATAACAACACTCTCCCTCAAAGAAATAAGGCATAGAAAACTTGTTCTCTCTGTATCTTTAATAGTCATTGAGTATGTAACATAATTCCAATTTAATTAACCACCTATCTTCTTTTTTATTTTGTTAACAGGTATATTGGTGTTTTGAAGTACAGCTGACACTGATAAAAGTCAGGTATAAGGAGTACACCTAATGTCTAATTAGCATTCTGAAGTCTCTGTTTGGGATTAGCTGGACATTACACCTGTACAATCCAAAACGTAATAGAGGACAGTGCTTATATAGTAGTGGATATAAAGGTATCTCCAGCAAATTTAAATGACCAATAGGAGTTATACAGACTTCAGTGCTTGACTGAATCATTGCCAACACTGATTCAAAATATTACAGATACAGCAGGTGACAAGGCTTGAAAGGAAAAGAAGGAAAACACCACACAACTAAAGACAACTATAGATTGCCTCTTCAGTGAGCTAGAGATACACAGAGATGATATCCTGAGTCCATTTCTTTTAAATATGGTTATCAAGGCATCTTTGTGCTACAATTAAATTGGGTGAAAGAATGATCCATGTGCTTCCTTTCTCTAGTATCTTTCAGCAAATGCTATAGACACTAGCAAGAAATGCCTTTCCCTGAAAATTAGTTGAAAGTTTTCTTTTAAAAAAACTCATTTAATAATATAAGTAGGTCAGAGTCTGTGCGAGAAATGCAGAAGTCAGTATTTCACTTAGTCTAACATTGATTTTGAATGATTGCAGACACTGCAATGCCCAGAACTGGACAACAAACTAATGCCATATTTTCAAAATCTGGAGTTTTCTCTACAGATACAGATTTTGGAAAGAATCAAACAACTGTTACTATTAAAGTTTATTCATGTTCATTTCAAAAGATCAAATTGCCCAGCAATATAGTTTGTATTCTGATATTAGGGCTGCAATTGTGTATGCAAATATCTGGAAGTAAGTTCTGATGAACTCAGTGGAAGTTATACTTGAGTACACATGTATAGGATTATGCTATAGATCTATAAATTAATTTAAAAAATCTATTTGTGAGTTCTTAAGAAATACACCATGATGCAGCTCTTCCTGCTTCTGAATAGGCCACAGCTGTCAGTGAAACATCAAGACACTGAAAAACTGTTAAGCCATGTTCTCTCGCACAAAAGCTCATAACTATTTGATTGAGACCAGCCATGAAATCTATAGAAAACAATGTCTTTCAAACAGACAGCTGGCTGTTTACATAGGTGGGCATATTGTATATATGTTGTCATTGGTTGTATATGTTCATTTTCCATAATTAATATTTTAAAAAACTGCAAAATCCGTCATATTAATATTAGGAAGGCAGGAACACAGCTATGCAAATTAAACTTGGATACACCCTACAGTAATCAAAAGTTTGTGTAGTCACAAAAAAGCTTTATTAAGCAAAAAAGAGAATATCTACAGTAGTGGCCAAAATTGTGGAAACCTATTGGGAAAAGTGTACAGTAGAAATGCCACCTTTTGTTAAGTTTCTACCAAGTTTTCTTCTAATTTCTTTATAACTGTAGCCTTGTTCACTTAATAATACTATTTTACATTGCTTTCTGGGCAACCAGTCAACTCTTTGCACCATTACTTTAATTTTATTATGTTTTACAAGTTCACTAAATGAAAGGGAAAAAAACCTAACCACCTTGATAGCAATCATATAACACAGTGGCAAATATCCTCCTCTCAGCTTCAATACATGACATCAATAACTGAATCCTACTGTGATCTGATTGGCTCATTGCCAAAACAAGATGACACCTGATTGGCTCTCTAAACACTCATGCTCATTGGCTACAATCAAATGAAGGCAAGCTACCTGATATCAACCTAAGCAAGTTGTGCTTCCTTTTTCTGGTTATTTGGCTATAACTTTTCATAGAATACAGTACAGATAACTGAACAAAACTATGTTGCATTACATTCTTGATTAAATTATCTTTCCATTGATATATAATTTTATGGTACTACTCCAAAAAAAGTGGTGTTATTAGCCATCAAACCTCAAAAATACACTTTTCTCAAAAGGTTTCCACAATTTCCACTGTAAATTCAGACTGAGACATTAAGAAACACACAAAGACAAATGTAAACTACCTATTCAATAGTTTCTTTTTTAGAAGTTATTTTATAAAAAGATCAAAGGCAGAGTAACTAGTTTGGAAATGGTTGAGGGTATATGTAAATCCAGATGGGAAGACAAGGTTGAGAAAAATGAACTTTTTAAAGAAAGATAATATATAAATTGATGGACAGACATGGTGCACATACCAGTTATTTGCAAGCATAAAAAAGTGTGGCACGGTATAGTGCAGGGGTAGGAGACCTCGGCTCTTTTATGACTCGTGGACTTCAACTCCCAGAATTCCTGAGCCAGCCAAGCTGGCTCAGGAATTCTGGGAGTTGAAGTCCACGAGTCATAAAAGAGCCGAGGTTGCCTACCCCTGGTATAGTGAATGGTGCGGGTATGAAGTAGATTTAGCTAGATTTCCCCCTTTGTTTGCTAATTCAAACTTTATCGCCAGAAAAGCATGTCGCCTTCCTTAATTTGATCCTCCCCAGAGATGTGAGGATGACAGAACTAATCGTGCTGATGACGAGACGAAAAAGTAATTATTCCTAGGGGAAAAAATCGGGCAGGCGAAAACTGAAAATCAGCTGCTTGGGTGGGAGGGAGAAGGAAAAGGCGAAGCCATTGGCCAGGCTGAGGATTGTGAAAACAAACGCTTGTTCCGCACTCAGCCCAAAGGCGGCGCTATAAAGACTTGGCTGGGCTGACCGGGAAGGCGGATGCTCAATTCAAGTCTCTCCGCGGCAACTTCCTGGGTTGCCGCAGGGAGTAAAGTTTTCTGACCGTTTAAGTTTCGCTTTTACCTTCGGCTTAGCGTTGCGGAGAGCAGACGCAGCGAGAGGACTGGGAAGGAGAGCCTGTTCGTCGTGGGTTCCACGCGGGCAAGTATAGCTTATTTCGAGAAAGAGAGAAACTCATTTTTTTTCCCCAAGGCTCGATTCCCACCTCCATGCCGACTTCTCTCTACTTCGGCAATTCCCTGGTAGACGAGGGGCCTTTTCCAAATCTTTGGGCTTAAGCTCTCCTCATTGTGCTTTCATTCGCTGATAACATTTTGGGACCCGGAGTCGGTCGTAGGAACTTTCAAAAAGTGATGGACTTGCACTCTTTGTTTCCCTCCCACCCACCATGTACTTAATCGTTGCTATTTTTGCTTTTAAAACTAATGGTGAAAGTAGCACCGGTTGGAGTTCTACCTGCCTGATTAGTTTCATGCAGTTCTTCGGTCGGCATCAAATCTCCATTCCAGGAAAAAAACAACAACGCATCGTGTTTCTTTTCCATGCTACAGAACCGCGATCTGGGAAATTTCTGCTTGGCGTGGAGCTAGGAAAATGGGGATTAAGTACAGTTAGTTCTGTATTTCAGTTTTCCGCGTTAAGATGCTTGGGACCAGCTCTTCAAGCATGCTGTTATGGTTGTATTGATCTGATAAGCTTACCCATGATTAACTAATGAATCCATGGTTCACTCAGCTGATTAGAATTGCACAACGTGAAAAACTATAGGGTATCTCCTCCACTCGGGGTTCATACAAGAAATGAAACTAAAATTAGGCCTGCTACTTTGTGGTTTAGTGTGTTGTACAATTGCAGCTTCTTGCTTGTCTGCAGCTGATGGACCCAAAACGGCGGTGTTTGCTAGGAAAAAACGGGGGGGGTGTGTCTGTTATATCTATCTTATTAACTGAAGCATTCTTGCCTATTTTTATGATAGAAAAAACCCCGGTAAAGATCAGCTGATGAGATCATCCAGGATACATGTTCAAGGTTACTGGTTAAAATGAAATAAAAAGAACTTGGAAGCAGAAGTGAAACAAAAAGATTTTCTGTATGAAAGAGAAAGAGACACCACCCCCCATTGGATGGTGTCCAGCCAGTTACTGAATCGTGATGGGTTTTCTCTTGTCACAGTCTTCTAATCAGAGTCACCTGGTGGCAAAATCCAAAACATGCTGCCTTTTATTTAGTAGCTGTAGGGCAATACCTAAGATAAGAATCTGGGAGAATTGCCTCTGCTGTTTTAGTACTTTGCAACTATCCCATTAAGAAATAAGAGAGAAGCTGGGATAATGCAGAGGTTTTTAGGGTAGATGTTTCTTTCCAAATGGATAAGGATACTGTAAAGGCAGGCAGGATATACCTCTTCTGTTTGTAGAGGCAGAATAACTCCCAAGTGGGGCAGATATAATAATAATAATAAAGTTGGAAGGGACCTTGGAGGTCATCAAGTCGAATCCCCTGCTCAGGCAGGTAACCCTATACCAAATGGCTGTCCAGTTTCTTCTTAAAAACTTCCAGTGTTGCAGCATTCATCGCTTCTGGAGGCAGGTTGTTCCACTGGTTAATTGTTCTAACTGTCAGGAAGTTTCTCCTTAGTTCTAGGTTGCTTCTCTCTTTGGTTAGTTTCCATCCATTGCTTCTTGTCCTGCCTTCAGGCGCTTTGGAAAATAGCTTGACTCCCTCTTCTTTGTGGCAGCCCCTGAGATATTGGAACACTGCTATCATGTCCCCCCTCGTCCTTCTCTTCATTAAACTAGACATACCCAATTCCAGCAACCGTTCCTTATCTAGTGCAAGGGTCCTCAACCACAGACCACTACTGGGCTGTGGCCTATTCGCAATCGGGCCACGGGCTGGTGCATTTGCGTTTGAGCTGCCTGTGCATGTGTGCCGACCTGCTCGCATGGCCTGGTTCCCCTCTTCCCCTTCCGGACCGCCAAACCACAAAAGTTGGGGACCACTAGTCTAGTAGACTTTTGTCTTATAGAGGTATGACTGGAATTATTCAAGTATCTGCAGTTATCCCAGTGATATATCCTAATCTCCATATTGTCAATGGAGATTCTTAATCATCCAGGTCATGGTTGTCTCAAAGGTGTTTTTCAAAACTGGTATTTCTAGTTTTTTTTCCTTGAAAATGTTTTGCTTCCCATCCAAGAAACTTCTGACTGAATTTATATTATTTGCAGTCTGATTATTACCACTGCTCTCCAAGATTGTTGAGGCCACTTGGGAGTTTATTTGTACCCTCAGGATCACCTGAATCAGAATGCAAATGGATGTGGAACCTTCTTGATACTGCTGAAAGGACTGTGTTGTAAACAGGAGATAGGTAGTGTCCTATTCCTCACCCTTTGTTGAGAGAGGACTGTACAATTTTAACGTAGATGGCCTCTTTGACCCCTCTTTCAAACCAATGACCCTCTGTCCAGAATGTGAACTTTGTTGTCTGACACACCTATTGATTGGGAAACGAAACAACCATTTCACAAATGCATGGCACAACACAGGAGAACAAACCCATCAGGACAAGATTCAGCATCCATCTGCATTTAAAAGACAAAGGTCACTCTTTTGAAGATAGCAGATTTCACATTCTGGACAGAAAGGGCCACTTGTTTGAAAGAGGGGTCAAAGAGGCCATCTGTATATTAAAATTGAACAGCCCTCTCTCAACCACCTATCTCATGTCTAAAACACAGTCCTTTCAACAGTCCCAAGAAGGTTCCACACCCATTTGTACTCTGATTAAGGTGACCTTTTATTCAGATAATTTAGTGTTTTTTCAAAGTTGGCAACTTTTAAGATGTATGGACTTTTAACTCTGATAATTTCACAGCCAACAATTTGGAAGTTCAATCCACACATTTTAAGTTTGCCAACTTTGAAAAACACTGTGGTAAACCAGTACCCCCAACCTTTTGGGCACCAGGGACCAGATCCATGGAGAGAGGTTTTCCACAGACTGGAGGGGGCATGATTTCGCACACTGCCTGCATCCTGTAGGTGGGGCTTTGCTTGTTTGCAAGGCCCAATTTCTGGCATGAAGCAGCCTGGGGCTGGTCCACGGACCAGATGTTGGGAATTCCTGTGGTAAACAATGTTTAAATCAGCTTATATCTTACAAGTTTCAATATTGTTATTTTTAGATAAGTAATGAAGTGAAAAAGTATCTTACTGAAAAAATATACAAGAAGTTGATTCAGAAAAACTAATATTATTATTTGTTTGAATGGACATTCATTTGTAAATTGCTTTTTTTAGTGATTTCTTTCTATGACATTCTGGAAAAAAAACTTGCTAAACATTATGAGACCTGTGCAGTGTTTCACATTCAGTTTCCCAAAATGGTTCAGAGCTCATGAGGGCACAAATATAGCCCTTGAGCACAGATCTTAAAGCAGCTGTATCTTTTCTTGGGAACACGGCAGCATGTTTAGAATTTAGGTGTAGACAATTCAATGGAATGTAAGTTAGAGCAAGTGTGTTTTCTTCACATGTATGTGGTTTTCTTCATTTCTCTGGTAGTGTTAAAATTAAGGAGCAAAGAAACTGGATTTCAATAGTTTTGTAAAACATTTCAACCTAAATTTGAATACAAATGTCTAACTTCTAGATTCATTTGTTTTAAAAATAGAAATATATCATGCTATCTAAAATGATAATAATTGTAAGAATATTGATTGCAGAGTCTAAATATTGGCAGAAGATATCTGTTCCTGTGTTGCCAATGATGGCTGAAAATACTACAAATGATTATGCTGATGCAGTGGATGCAAAACCTTCAAGAACTGATCGGTTATCCATCTTTGGAAAGTAAGAAAATTAATTTTTAAATTAGAAATCTTAATTTGTATAAAATAGGTATACAAAAAGTTATGATTACAGTTCATCTGTGGCAAACAATGTGAACAAATAATACTGTGACAGGAATGTTTATGATCTTTTGATATATTGACAGAAAAATCACTTTCAATTTTTTTTGAAGACTTTTTTTGTAAATTAAAATGGTTGGGAATATTACCTCAATAAGTCATTTGTGAAAATATTTTAAAGTGTATTCATATGATAATGGGGTCCAAATGGTAACTTACTCTGAAGAGTTTTGATAGTTTACTATTATATTTTCATAATATAGTCTACTACAGAGGTTTCTAACCTTTTTGGTTTGGTGGCCCGGAAAGGGAGGCAGGCAAATGGGCCGCACACAAGTACATGCGCAAATGGGGCAGTGCTAATACCGGCAGGATGCTTGGGGCGGTACTAGTGCCGGTAGAATGTTCGCGGGGCGCTAGCACCGGCAGGATGCTCAGGGTGGAGCTAGCGCAAGTGTGGGAAGTGAATGCACACACACGCACAGGAACTCGCCATCCCTTCCGGTAGCCAAAAGGCCACAGCCCACAGGTTGGGGACCCCTGGTCTACTATTTTTGCTACTGAAAGTCATGCTTGATTGAAGAAAAAGTTAGCAACAAAAGTTAGGGATTTGGCATTCAATAGCTGTGAAGCATGAAACATTTTAACACTGAATCAACCCATTTTCCCTTTGAAATAAAACTTTTGACATTCAAAAGTTTGATTTTTGCAGACTCCATGAAAATCTCTACTTAGAGAGAAAGGTTTATTACCATACCCAATTATTTTATTTATGTGTTTTATATGACCATTCACCTCAAACGTTTAAGGAAATAGACTGGATTTTAAATTGTCACTGGATTTCTGTTTTGAAAGTTTTATTAACAAGGATGAAGAATTGTTTTATGTCCCTATTTAATGTTTTTAGATAGTGGTTTTAAAATGCTTTCTAACAGGACTTTATGATACTGACTATAAGCTGTCCTGTAAAAATGTTTATTCTAAAAAACTGATTATAAATTCTTAAACAAGTTTTTGAGTAAAATGGATTTACTTTTTTAGCAGGCATAGCATATGAAACCTTTTATTTTACTTTTTTTATTATGTTTATTTATTTATTTTATTTATTTTATACTTTGACTTATATGCCGCCCTTCTCCCCACGGGACTCAGGGCGGCTCACAGCATATTAAAACAACATAACACATTTCCCCAATAAAAGCCAATTAAAACCAAATATTTGTAGCTGTGTCTCTTATTAAAAATCATTAAAAATTTAATTTAATGTTCATTACACAATAGTCCAAGTCTTGTCTTTAAGATGGACTTACAGTAGTATAGTGGTATATCAAACTAGGGTTTCATGAGGGAGGCTTCAGGAGAGCCTAAGGCCAAAGAAAAATTCACTTGTGCATAGCCAATTGTCTATCCCCGTGGTGGCGAACCTATGGCATGCCTGCCACAGGTGGCACGCAGAGCCGTCCCTGATGGCACGCGAGCCATTGCTGCTTCCCTCCTCTTTGCGCATGTGCAGCTCTTTTACACTCACTAAACGAAGGAAGTTTCGGAGCACGCGGCAGAAAGCGAGAGAGAGAACAAGCAAAAGCGGTAAGTTTTGCCTCATCTCAGCCCTGCCTCGTCTCTGGCCTGCCGCTGAGCTTCCTGCGCTTGGCTGCAGCGGAGGAGGTGGCGGCGGCCGCCGGCCTCCCCAGCAGCCCCAGAACACCCCGCCGGCACTGGCATTTCTTGTAATTTCGCACCCGGCGCCCCTCGCACAGCCGCGCTGTCTCCAGCCTGCCGCTGACCGCAGCGGACGAGGCAGCAGCCACTGGGGGAGGCCGAGGCCGAAGAGCCTGGCCCAGCGGCCCCGGAACATCCCGCCGGCGCTGGCATCTTGTGGCACTCGGCGCTGCCATTTCTCGTCATTGCAGCCCGCCTCGCGCAACCCACCTCACGCCGTCTTCGACCGGCCGCTGAGCTTGCACCGCTTGGCCGCAGCGGACGAGGCAGCAGCCACCAGGGGAGACGAAGCCGAGGCCGAAGAGCCCGGCCCAGCGGCCCCGGAACACCCCGCCGGCGCTGGCATCTTGCAGCTCCCGGCACCGCCATTTCTCATCATTGCAGCCCACCCCACCTCGCGCAGCCCGCCCCGTGCCGTCTCAGGCCTGCCACTGAGCTTGCGCCGCATGGCTGCAGCGGATGAGGCAGCAGTCACCAGGGGAGGCCAAGGCTGAAGAGCCCGGCCCAGCGGCCCCGGAACACCCTTCCGGCACTGGTATCTTACGTCGCCCAGCGCTGCCATTTCTCACCATCTCACAGCCCAGCCCACCTGTCAAGCCCCTGTGGGCTCGACATTCACAGGGGAGGGAGGCAAGCGGTCCCAGCCATGCTAGCGAGCTCTGGATGGCGACCACCGCACAATCGCCGGGAGCACAGCGCGGTGCCCAGAGGGAGGCTGCCGCACAGCTGGTCGTCAGGAGCCCGGCACAACACACCTACCGGTTAGCACGGGAGGCTCCTCTGACGCTGGCCACACCCACCCATGCTTCCATGACTACCATGGCCACGCCCATTTGGCCACGCCCATTCAGTGGCCATGTTCATTCTGTGGCCACAGCCCCAGCACCCTGCGATGCATAAGTGGGTTTCAGGTTGCAGTTTGGGCACTCGTTCTCTAAAAGATTCGCCACCACTGGTCTATCCCCTGTTTGGATCTGGATCATAGGTTCTAGCAGTTTTCTATTTTGCAATGTGAAAGAGTTGAAAGCCAATAAAGGTTTCAGCTTCTCATTCTGCAACATCTGTTCCTATGCTTATAAAACCTGATGATCTAAACAGGTGAAAGCTTTTTCAGAACTTTTTTCCTAGTCTTATACTATAGGGATGTTTACTTGGGAGGAGAGATGTTTTGAACTCAATGTTGACTCCTGGCAACTGCCTAGTCCAGTTTCCTTGGCCAGATTTCAGAAATAATTTACCATTGCTTGCTTCCTAAGGCTGAGAGAGAGAGAGAGACTGTCTAAGACAGGGGTGTCAAACTCAATTTCACTGAGGGCCACATCAGCATTATGATTGTCCTCAAAAGGCCAGTTGGTGTCTCAGGCTTCTCTCCCTCAGGCTTGCCCCACCGACATCTCTCCTCTCCATCGCCTTCTTTCCCCCCTCACTCCTCTTTCCCTCCTTTATAACATCTCCTCTCCTCCCCCATGCGTTCACTCATTTCCCCAGTGTAGCTGAGAACCCGGGATCAGTGCACACAGCTCCAGCTGATTGGGGCTTCCAGCGGCCTCAAAGGTGGCCAGCAGCCACATGCAGTCTGGGGGGGAAGAGTCAGCTGGAGCCCCAACAGCCCCGTAGCTCCAGCTGACTCTCCCCCCCCCAGACTGTGTGCGGTTGCTGGCCACCACTGAGGCCACCAGAAGCCCTGATCAGCTGGAGCCATGTACACTGATCCTGGGGCCTCAGCAGAGCCCCAGCAAGACCTCAACTCCAGCTCACTCTCCCTCAGGCCCTACAGCTGCTTCAGCACACACACAAGCACACACCTTGCTACATACTTAATCAGCTCCTCCTACTAGTCTGCTTATGGGCCAGATCTAAACACACTAGGGTGGGGGGAATCTGGCCTGTAGGCCTTGAGTTTGACATGTCTGGTCTAAGATAACCCAGATTTCATGCCTAAAGCAGGATTAGAACTCCCAATTTATCAGTTTCCAGTCTGCTGCCTTTAGCATAGGACCAAACTGGCTCTGTTTTGTTTATCGGTGCAAATCATTTAAGCAACCTGAATCTGTTCCTCAAAACAGACTGACAAAAATTAGGGATGTGTTTTATTAGGTTGTTAAAGCTTTGTTGGGATCATACATACTGTACAATACAGCTTTCCCAACTGATAACCACCACATCATGTTTAGATGTTGCAGTTTCCAGATAATATGGGTATGGAAGTACACTAGCAATCACAACTGGAGGGTGTAAGGTTGGCTTAAGTAATTCTCTGCCAGGATTATGTTTTTCTTTCTAACTTACCGTATTTTCCAGCGTATAAGACGGCGTATAAGACGACCCCCAACTTTTCCAGTTAAAATATAGAGTTTGAGCGAGAGAGAGGGGGGGGGAGAGAAAACTTTATGAGTAATATGCCAAACCACATGTGTAAAGGAATAAAATAGAATACCCGTATTTTCCAGCGTATAAGACTGGGCGTATAAGACGACCCCCGACTTTTGAGAAGAGTTTCAGGGTTTAGAAAGTCGTCTTATACGCCGGAAAATATGGTAGTTTATATTTTCACACAAACAATTTTCAATAAACTGACTTTAAAGTACATAGCTTGCATGTCATATGTGTATATCCTAAAGCAAGAGAAGCATTTTTGTTGGAGAAGAAAAACAATGTTTAGTATTACAAGCACAGACAGGCACTCTGTTGCTAATAAATAGAGAGCACTTTGTCCCAGGTATGGGGCGTTACGCCTTTTTTGTTTTCATTGCTAAAACATGGCTTAACAACATAAGAGATGAGGGAAGTGAAGAAAAGAGAAGTGGAGTGTGTTTTTGTCTGTTTCTGATAAGAATGTCTCTAGTGAGAGACACGTATTCAAGTGAGATAAAATTCAGTTGGAAGCCTATCCTCATTCCTTCCATTTGAACATTTCACAAAAGCAGATTTCTTTATGCAAGATATGGCTTGTAGCAGGGATGGGAAAGGTGATTAGAAGCTTGGGTGGGCATGATTGTTGCACCTGTCTATGTTTCCTTAAATCAAAGAAGCCTCTTGCCAGAATCACACATGAGCCTGACAACTGAACGATTACTGACAGCTGGGTATACACACAATTATGTGCTCTCCAAATTACATTTTCCCTTTCAGATCACTTCACAAAACATTGTTAAAACCTTACTTCAGTACAGATTATAAAACTATATAAAACTTTGTTTTTTTAATAAACTATTTAATTTTTTTTAAAAAAATATTTAAATCTAATCAATTGGTCTTAAGCCCGATTCCTTTTTTTTAAATGAAAAAAATATCAGACAGGCCATTTATTTAAAAAAAACTTAAAAGGATAAAAAAAGTGCATGGTTTGCCCACAAGGTGGCAGGCCAATGTAATTTTAAATAAGAATCTTCATATAGTTTTATATGAAGATAAATTTATAAAGAGATAAAAATAGTATGGCAGTGTTTTATTGTTCTGTCAAATGTGCAGTTCACCAATATATGTTACTCTAGAATCTCAGCTGATGAAATATGCTAAAGGGATATGACAAATGTTCAAATAGGTTTAGGGCAAGTTTACACATACATCAGATTTTTGGGTGTCAGTTCTCTAAATTCATGCTCATATATCATACACATATATGTATGTCCACTAGTTTTGCTATTTTGAAATAGATAAATAATTTATGCATAATTCTGTTGGGTGCTCATTCTATTTCATGGGAAACCAGGAGACTGAATTCTAGTTCTGCCTTAGGTGTGAAAGTTGAATTTGGGTGATTTTGGTTACTCTCATTCCAACTCACCTCACAGGATTGCAGTTGTTGGTAAAATAGGAGAAATGAGTATTATGTTATGTTCACTGCCTTAAATTACTTATCAAGTAATAATAGCAGGATAAAAATCTAATAAATAAAATACAAATACTCAGAAAAAATAAATAACAAAAATTAGGGGGGGGAAACTCTTAAAGGGGCTTTTTTGTCTCTTTTCCCCTAGCATTTATTTTTCTTTTTCTTAAAAAAAAAATAGAAAAGGTGGTGGAAGGTTTATATCACATTTCTTAGTATTTTCGTTTCAATTTGCATATAAAATTGTTTGAAAATGCAACAGATATAAATGAAGTAAAACATCCAAAATTTAATGTTTAACTACAGATGGTCACATCCAAAAATTAAATTATTTCATCTTCATTAAAGCTAATCTAGGTTTGTGAGTTAATTCTTACATTTTGTGTTGGTTTTACCATTTTGTTACTTCAGGTGTTAAGGAAAAGGCCTAAACTGTTGCATCCTGTGATATTTACATCACCATATTATTTTGCTGGAATATTTATTTTCTCTACACTTGATTATATGAGTTCTCTTTTACCTCTTTTCAATCAAATTCATGTCTCTGTTGTAGTTAATTAATTTAATTGTTTTTCAATTGAGGTTGAGGTTTGTAAGTAAATATATCAAAAAATGTAATGAGTGTAACGTTTTCACATGGCAGAAGGACATAAACGTATTTAATAAGGACATGAATGAATTTACCACTATTTTTACAAGTAATTTCCTTGAGAACCTCTTTCCCACCTGTAATAATCCAATGCTAAATGGCCATCTTAGGATTCCTCCCCCTTTTGATGTTTAATTGTCATTATTCTATAATTTTGAAATTTTAAACCTAATTTTTAATTTCTAATGATAACTTTTATACATTGTTTATTGATTATATTATATTGTACACTCCTCTTTGAGGGAGCTGGATGTTTAAAAATATGATAAATAAACAAACAAACAAATGTATAGTATTGCTTTAAATGTAGTGGAAAGATTTTTTCCCCCTTTGAATTAGTAAATTGTGAGGGTGAATATTCAAAGCTGGATCTTGGCTTTAAAGGATATCTTCCTGCTTGAATGTGCAGTGTGTTGCACCTGCCTTTTGTATGCATTCCTGCCTTCTGTACTGTAACAACAGTGCAATAATAAAATAACATTGATGCAAGTACATCTTTTCTGCCTTTCAGCTGGAGCAGAAGAGGCTTACATGACCTCAGCTACGTGTTAGGCCATAGTAATGGCCCTTTCAATAGCCTTATAGAAAAGTCCAGCGTGACCTATTGCTGACACAGACAAATTGTTGAGTCTGTGAACACATTGTAGTTTGTTTCAGTTTCTGGTGTTGTGTGAGCATGATGAGATGCTCGCATTATTAGAAAAGATAATAATTATCCTTCAGCATAAGGTGGACGTATTTTTCAGATGCAGAGTAGTGTACCACTTGTTGAAGAACCAAGGTACCGTTCTTTCTTTTTCCTATTCATTCAAGGGAAGAGGAGATATCTAACATTAGGGGTTACCTAATGTTAAATATTAGCGAAATTAAAATTTGAAAAATCATTTTATAGTAGATTGACAATAAAAGGGTTATAGTGTAGAATCATACATTTGTTAGAGGAATTAAAGAATTAACGTGTGTAAAATACAGCAGTAGCCAGGATATGTCTAATGTTACGTTTTGTATTTGTAACATGCATAGATAATAAAAAAAGGCTGTAAATTAGATAAAACCCATTCTGTGAAGTAGCAAATTGTGTTTTTGATGATAATTGCAGAGGACCAGTATAGCTTTAGTTGTGTTTAAGGAGGAAACAGTAGTTCACTGTAATCAGTAATAGAAATATTACGTAGATGATATATCTTTCCTTAAACTTGCATTTGTATTTCTATTTGTAGGCTCTAGGCTTATTACTGATTTCTAGAAGACAATGAAACTTTGTTTCTGTCTTAAGCAATTGAGCTTAAGACAGTGATCATTAAATCAGTGATCTTCTTCCATTATTATCGAGGCAGTTAATTATTTGCTTTCTCAGAGAAATACAGGAAATTCCAAAACATGTGGCATGTACATTGCAGATTTATTTCCTTAATGTCCTGCCAAGCATTTCTCATAAAATTTGGGTAATTTCCGGTAATCTGAGTCTAGACCTACATGGTTCTAAACATACTGTTACTTTAAAATAGGTGAAGAAAGTAAGGTAACATGTAGATCTTGACTAGTCCCTGAATTCTTAATAACACCTATTAGATAAAATGTAACTTCAAATATCCTGAATACCAAATTGGTGAGGTCTGCTTATTGGATAAGATCCTGTTTGTCCTAGTGGATGTCCTTTGCCAAAAGACTAACAGGGAGACTATAACTAGGTATATTCTAGAAACCTTGAGTTGAAATGGACCATTAGGACATTAAGAAATGAAACTCATCTTTAGCAAGTACTGTAGTTGTCTAGCCTCTTGCGCTAAACCCATTAATGAAATCTATTATCTGTCTTGGCAGTTGGTTACATTGTTGAATTGTTACTCTTTTTTTCCTATCACTCAATATATCTTCATGTGTTATAATTCCATTGTTCAATTGCTTGCACACATTTTATTATGGTGATGAGACCAATATTATTAAAGGGTACACATTTTATGGTGAAGAGATCAATATTAAAGAGTATACATAAGGAACAAAATAAGGATAAATATAGTTAAATTAATGATAAAGGAATAAAATCTGCATTAGTCAATGACTATGTTCAACACTGAGCAAGTGTTAACCTTCAAAGGTAACAAACTAGCAAAAATTATGATGAACATTTATCTTTGTTAACAGCTAAAATATATATTGTAGAAGTCATCAGTGGGGGGGGAATAAGATCACAGTCATGTAAGACTTATTTTCCAGTTTTCTGATAATCTTCATTGCCTGTTCTTCTCTGAACCCATACATACTTAAGTTTATATCAGTGGTTTGAACTGGTGAGCCTCAGGAAGTAGACAGGGTCTTTAGGGCTGTGAGCTCAGCCATGTGCTCTTTAGATCCACAGCCCTTCAGGCTGGTTAAAGCGCCCTGGGGATGTTGAATGAGTGGCTTTAGTGAAGTATAATTCTTGAGTGAAGGGATTGTTCCTTTACCTCTAAAGGAGGCTTTGGTTTTCCAACTCCTCAGTAAGCCATCACTGGACCCCACTATATTGTGAGTAATGAACTCTTATTTTTACAAGCCATTTTAATTATATGTGTTTTAATTTCATTAGACAGATGGGTAGTTATTGGATTGTTTGGAGATCATTTGCATTCTTTTCACAATAACATTTAGTTCTATTTCCACAGAAAAAAGAAGAATGAATGGGAAGGTCAACCAGAGGATTCTTCTGGTAACCAATATCGAATTATTATCCCTACGTTCCAATATAATATAGCCTTTAAGAAGCTTGGTAAATGCATTATTATAAACAATAAGAACTTTGCAAAAGATACAGGTACTCCTTTATTCTTCTACCTGCATGCTAATTTCTTGTGATAACTTTTAAAAAGATGTGTGAGCTTTTTAAAGTGAATACTTTTAATAAGTGATATTTCGCAATGTGCTGATATTAAGTGACTTCTTGTTTTGGTACAAACCTGACCTTGGTTAAAATAATGTATAAGTAGACCTCACTTAACAACAGTAATTGGAGCTGTAATTTCGGTCGTTTAACAATGCGGGAGTAAGATGTGAGGTCACGTACCACATCGTTTAACAATAGCAGTTCCTATTTGTTATTTAGAATTGTGCCTCATTAAGTGAGAACTTCCTTGTGACTTTCTGCCTGCTTCCAACAAGCAAGCACTTCAAGGATAGCACCGGCAGGAAGTCACAAGTACTAGGTGGCTTGCAAGTAGTCTGGCAGGCAGATAAGTGATTGCTGGGTGGAGCTGCTGCCAGGTGCAGGAGGGTATATAGTGGCTGTCACAGTGCCAGTCAAGATAGGTGTAGACTATGTGGTACAAGCAATAGATTTATTTATTTATTTTTAGAGAGTTTATGTGCCCACCCACTCACTTTCAATGACTCTGGGTGGCTTACCAAAAATAAAAAAAACCATATACAAATAGTAGAAACAACCCCACACACATACACACACATCTGGTGAAACAAGCCACTTGAACTCACTCCAGGTTCCCCAGACCCATTGGCAAAACCAGGGCCTTGTGAAAGAATGTCAAAGCCTAACCTCCATGAGAATGGAAAGGAAGGTAACCAGCACACAAAGGACCCTTCTTCTGTGTCCCACAAGATGTACCTCCTTAAGAGGGGGGGAACTGCAACATTCCCTGCCTCCTCACTGTGATCGATTAGCTGGATGTACCTGGGTAGAGACAGTCCTTTAGATAACCTTGTCCCAAGCTGTTTTGGGCCTTAAAAGTGACAGCCAGCATCTTGAATTATACCAAGAACAAATCTACAGCTAGATGCTGTGGATAGGCATGCGCTATGGGATATAGGATCCTCAGGACCTTTACTTCATTGCCAGATTCCTTAGGAAAAAAAATTGTTGAGTGCCACTATAACTTCAAATGCTCACTGATTTGTTGTGGTTGTTAACCAAGGACTGTTTGTACTGGAACATAAACTTTTTTTAATAAAAAAAAAATACAGTAAGCCTCACTTTTCCAGACTGGGTGAAGTTATGTCTATCAAAAAACAAATCTTTTCTTGTTGTTGTTGTTGTTGTTGTTGTTGTTGTTGTTAGTTCAAATTCAAATTGTCTGCTAAATCCAACATTTACCAATCCAGAGTTTAACTGTAATCCACTCTATTCATTGTGGATTTTAGAATTCTTGTTTTGCCTCCACCAGGCTGTTAAACAGGCTATAACGAATTGATTGGAGGAGGGGGGGGAGGAGGAAGATACCATTAATACCTGTATGACTTTGTTGTAGCCATCTTAACAGTCAGATGACTGTAGCCCAGCATGGTAGCTATAATTAAAACTTATTTTTTGTTTACAAAAAAGTTTTTGGTTTTGAAAAGTTGTTCTAAATATCAAGTACCTCTTTTGGAGGAGTTTTTATTTTTTGATCATAAATTTAGTTCTTAGTTTGCCTCTATTTTTTTAAAAGGAGGGTTTTGTTCTTCTGTTTGTTTCCTTGCATTTTAAAGAAATTCTTATTTAAATATTTTGAATGTATGTTTAGTCTCAATTACCATGCAAGCATAATTGTAGTTGCTGGCTCATTCCCTTTCAATGCAGTTACTTGCCACTATAGAAAAGTAAAAATAGCATACTTTGAGCTTCAGCAAATATTAGACAAATGATTATGTGGAAATTATGCACAGCTATAGGTTATAACACTGCTTGTATAAAATATTATTTCACACAGCCGGTTGTGACATTCATTTGTTTTGGCTTAGGGATGTGTATACGAAATGGTACTGACAAAGATGCTGGTGACTTGCAAACATGTTTTCGGGACATTGGTTTTGATGTTTCCATTTATAATGATCTCAGCTGTAAGAAAATGAGGGAAATCCTTGGTGAAGGTACTGATTTTTTTTTTTAATTTGACTTAACTATTATCTTGAAATCTAGTTGGACAACTTTTTCTAAGTTGATGCCAAGCTGATAACTACTAAAAATGCATAACCAGATGTCTGGGAATTCCCGAAATTGTGGGCTCAAGACATGGGCACAGGTTGAGAGAAAGAATAATAAATCACATATCAATTCTCTGGAGCTTTATGATCCTCAAATTGTATACCAATTTTAGCACTTGTAATGTTTTAAGATTATTTATTGTTAAAACTGTGTGCCTTTTTTCATGCACAGAACTCAGAGTGGTTTATAAAACCAAACACTCTTTAAATTACAACCAGTACTTTAAAAATCGTAAGCTTCAAGCAGCAGGAAGACAAAAGACCTAGTTGGAAAAATGCCCTTTTTAGTTGATATTACTAAGTAGAGTTGAGTGACATGTTCATTTAATGATGGGAGATGTGGTTGATTTGTAGTTGCCAATGAAGATCACGGTGATGCTGCTTGTTTTTCCTGCATATTATTAAGCCATGGAGATGAAGGCCGCATCTACGGCACAGATGCATTCATGGCAATCAAGGATTTGACAGCACTTTTCAGAGGAGACAAATGCCAAAGCCTAATTGGAAAACCCAAACTGTTCTTTATTCAGGTAAGAAGATGTTTGCTAATTTTAGTTCTTAAAGGATGGAATGTTTATCAAAACAAAACAAAGCTAGAAATAGCCTGGCATACCCATATATTTCAAAACACCACCAAAACTGCAAGTAAAAAGGGTCCAAAATTTATGGACATTTTCTTGTAAAGTATCATATAACTACATTTGTGATCTTTGAAGAAAATATGGGCTGTCTTCATCATTCCTTGAAAAGTCTAAATCTTTCCCTTTTTGTACTGCACATGCCATAGCAGGTCACAACTTGATTGTTCTCCTTTTACCATTTTACCCTTTTGTGGGATGCGGTGGCCCATTGTTCTACAATACTTCATTCTTCAGTGTAGGGAAAGGATACTAAGCATAGCTGGTCTGAGATTAATTTTGTTGACATATATGAGGTCTAATCCTATCAATGTGAATTTTGCTAGATGGCCCAGTACAAAGCTAGATTGACTTTGAATATAAGGAAGGTTCATATCTCAAGCACAGTTGTCAAATCTGTGCAGCTTTATCTCTCCAGACCTTCTCTTCTCATTTTTTACCTTTGTGACTAAGAGGCAACAGTTTTCTCTTCATTATTATGTCTTTTGGATAGCCCGGGGGCAAATATATCTCTCCAAACTAGGTATGAGTATAATTTTGGATGCTTTATGAATAATAAATCATATGCCCACTAGCTACAGCTTGACCTTTTCCGCATAGTCTAGTAAATGAAATGCAGCTGGAACATTTATGCTGCAGCCCTCAGACTTAAAGCATTTTTTTTAGAATAAATTTTTATTAATTTTTCATTAAAAAACATAAATTTTTTATCACAATATCAACCCCCCAAAAAAATCAACACCAATCAATACATTCACGGATGTGTCCGGTGTCCCCCTCCCGCACCACCCTCTCACTTACCTACACCTTCCTCCTCCCATCCTACCGCCACTCCTCCTTCCTTAAAGCATTTTTGATGGAACTCTTCGCTGCTTATCAGTAGTAGAAGTCATTAATGTGCATTTCAGTGGTTATCCTGGTCGAATTCATTAATGTACAGTATTTAATTTTACAAAGTGCAAGTATTTCTTCAGTCACCAAATGAATCTGCTAGAGAACTATCATAAAATGTTATGATTTTTTGTTTACTATGTGCCATTTATACATACGCAAATTATGCCTACTGTTTAATATTATGGTTTCAGGCATGCCGAGGTTCTGAATTTGATGATGGGATTCAGACAGATTCAGGTTCTTCAAATGACACCCTGGAAATGGATGCCAATCCAAGATACAAGATTCCAGTTGAGGCAGATTTTTTGTATGCATATTCCACTGTGCCAGGTATTTTATTTATTTATTTTATTTATTTAATTTAATTTATATGCCGCCCTTCTCCCAGCGGGACTCAGGGCGGCGCACAACATATTTAAAACAAAAGCATATATACAATCCCCCCCTGTAAAACCGAATTAAACCAAATTTTAAAGTTGTGTCTTCCAAATTCCTTAAAATAAACCCAGTATAAAATCCTCCCTAGGTCAGGTCCGCTTGCTGAAAGAGCCATGTCTTGAGGGCGCGACGGAAGGTAAGGAGATCCGGAATCATCCGAATCTCGGGGGGTAGTTCATTCCAGAGGGTAGGGGCACCCACAGAGAAGGCCCTCCCCCTGGGGGTCGCCAGCCGACATTGCTTGGCCGACGGCACCCTGAGGANAAAATTTATGGACATTTTCTTGTAAAGTATCATATAACTACATTTGTGATCTTTGAAGAAAATATGGGCTGTCTTCATCATTCCTTGAAAAGTCTAAATCTTTCCCTTTTTGTACTGCACATGCCATAGCAGGTCACAACTTGATTGTTCTCCTTTTACCATTTTACCCTTTTGTGGGATGCGGTGGCCCATTGTTCTATAATACTTCATTCTTCAGTGTAGGGAAAGGATACTAAGCATAGCTGGTCTGAGATTAATTTTGTTGACATATATGAGGTCTAATCCTATCAATGTGAATTTTGCTAGATGGCCCAGTACAAAGCTAGATTGACTTTGAATATAAGGAAGGTTCATATCTCAAGCACAGTTGTCAAATCTGTGCAGCTTTATCTCTCCAGACCTTCTCTTCTCGTTTTTTACCTTTGTGACTAAGAGGCAACAGTTTTCTCTTCGTTATTATGTCTTTTGGATAGCCCAGGGGCAAATATATCTCTCCAAACTAGGTATGAGTATAATTTTGGATGCTTTATGAATAATAAATCATATGCCCACTAGCTACAGCTTGACCTTTTCCGCATAGTCTAGTAAATGAAATGCAGCTGGAACATTTATGCTGCAGCTCTCAGACTTAAAGCATTTTTGATGGAACTCTTCGCTGCTTATCAGTAGTAGAAGTCATTACTGTGCATTTCAGTGGTTATCCTGGTCGAATTCATTAATGTACAGTATTTAATTTTACAAAGTGCAAGTACTTCTTCAGTCACCAAATGAATCTGCTAGAGAACTATCATAAAATGTTATGATTTTTTGTTTACTATGTGCCATTTATACATACGCAAATTATGCCTACTGTTTAATATTATGGTTTCAGGCATGCCGAGGTTCTGAATTTGATGATGGGATTCAGACAGATTCAGGTTCTTCAAATGACACCCTGGAAATGGATGCCAATCCAAGATACAAGATTCCAGTTGAGGCAGATTTTTTGTATGCATATTCCACTGTGCCAGGTACACTTGGGGCGGGGAGTAACAATTTGATATAGGATGAGTCAGGCATAAAGTGTGGCAGAAAATGTAGGCATTTGAAAAGTGATTATTTGAGTAAAAGCTATTTTGGGGGGAAGCATATTTTCTTTACAGTGAATTTTAGTGATGACTAAGCATCTGGCAAGTATTAGGTGATGCATGCTAAAACAGTAATGGGAGATCATTATCTAATTGGGGCTAGTTTGTTATCTCACAACTATATAAATAGAAAAACTAGTCTATCAGCAGTTCCGTAAAACAAACATGCCTGTTCCTAGATTTGTGCAGTCCCAGGCACATACACGTGTGGGTGAAAGAGATAATGGTAGGGTAGTGCTCTGTTGCAAATTTCTCAATTCCTCCTTAACTCCAACACCTATTTTTTCCTGGTGTCCTGGATCTTCTATTCAAGTCCGGCAAAATGCACACCTTCTTCACCAAGCTGCTGGCAAGTACAGCAACCTCATCCATTCTCATTTCAGTAGAGCTGCATACTTCTACCAAATAGAATTCATGTAGTTCTCAACTTACAACTGCATTTGGGACTGGGATTTCCACTGCTAAGTTTCCATTGCTGATTCACGACTCTTCAGCAAGTTAGGTGATGGTCATGAGAACAAGGACTGTTCATAAATCACCTTTTCCATTGCCATCATAACTTCAAATGGTTGTTACTGTGTTTCCCCAAAAATAAGACCGGGTCTTATATTAATTTTTGCTCCAACAGACCCATTAGGATTTATTTTCAGGTGATGTCTTATTTTTTTCATCACAAGGCCCGTGGGCTGGATCTGGCCCATGATAGGTCTATATCTGACCTGCAGGGCTGCCCCAGAGATGGTGAGGAACCGGCCCCTGTCATCCAGGCCCCGCTCTGCCGGGCGCCCTCCTAGCACACATACAGGAGGCAGCAAGTGCACGGGAGCCGACGATGTCTCTCAGCCGCCACAGCCCGCTGGCCCTCTGCCTCCACCTGCTGCTTGGAGGGCCAGGCCGGCAGTCACAGCACTCAGATTCACCTGTGCATGCACAGGCTGCGCAGCCCCAGAGTGCGCAGGCCAAGGGGCTGGCGGGTTGCGACAACTGCGGAATACTGTCAACTCCTGTGCACTGGTCGCTTTCTGTGTTGTAACGGATGTGCGGTACTAAGGATCTTAACTGGAGCTTATTTTCGGGATAGGGCTTATAGTAAGAACATCCTAAAAATCATGCTAGAGCTTATTTTCTGGTTGAGTCTTATTTTCGGGGAAACACAGTAGATGAATGGTCATAAGTCAAGAACTACCTGGAATAAAAAAATAAATTGAGGGTTGCCATGATTGATTAGTATAACTTCATCAATGGTCCAGCAAGTGTCCTTGATGAACTCAAAAGCATGTTCTAAGGCAGGAGTCCCCAACCCCAGTCCGTGGACCAGTACTGGGCCGCAGCATGCCAGCAGTCAGGCCGCACAAACAAGCAAAGCCCCATCCGCGAGATGCAGGCAGCACACAAAACCACACACCTTCCGGTCCGCGGAAAAACCTCTCTCCATGGAAACAGTCCTTGGTGCCCAAAAGGTTGGGAACCTCTGTTCTAAGAAACCATCTCGTACACAAGTGCAAATTCTGTTTTTGGTTAACATGGCTCATACCCATTAATTGAATTATTTTTAAGTATTGATTTTCTCTTAAACTATAAAGATGCTGATATTTTATCATATTGTAACAATCTATTCCACAAGTTAATTGTCATATATCATGAAATATGAATATCATGACATTAAAAATCATGATATTCATCATACAAGAAAAACAATGTCTCTCTCAAAATATCTTTCATATCTTAACCTTCCCATTCTTTATTTTAGAAAACGTTCTAGCCCATTGAAAATTCCTAAATTCCTTTTCTATGAGATATATATCCCAGAGACAATTTATTTCCCAGAGTCGTAAGGTTTTATTACATATAGAGGGGATATAATTTTTCCTTGTTCGTTGCTTTTTATTTATTTATTTAATAAATTTATAAGCCGGTGATATACAATATCATAAATATTTTAGAATAAGGCAAAAGAAAACAGAAACCTATAACAAACACAATGCAGAGCATCAGGGAAGAAAATACTATAAATAACAATGTCCAATATCAGTGTCCCTAAGGAGTCACAAAACACTGTGGCAGGGCCTACTGTAAATCCAGTTTTAAGACTTTTCTAATAGATGGATCAGAGCATGCAGACTTTGTTCCAAACAGCGGGGGGGGGGGGGGATAGAAAAGTCAAAGATCTGAATGTCATGTCCCAAGATGATAGTGTTGAATGGGATACGGAACATACCAGTCCCACTGAATCTATACAGCAAAAGGTGGTTTCACATGTATGGGCTATGAAACATGTACAGATAGTCACTGCAACCAATTACTTGCAGGTTTGTAAAGCAAAGGAAAATCGAAGTAAAATCACAAGCACAATTGTAGTTTCAATTAATGACCACTTTACATAACAACTGAGTTGCCAGTCCAAATTGTGGTCTGTAAATGAGCACTCACGGTACTAACCAGAAGGTTGAAAGACACTTGGAATCAATATTTCTGCCTTCCAGTTTAGTATTATTCTGCTTATGGATTGTTGGATTAGATAGCTAAATTTACAATATAAATGTGCACTGTGTGTTAAATTCTGTATTTTACCCTTTCTGACTTTAAAAGATATCTTAATTCTGTCATTAAAGGACATTTCCTTATTCTTACTTCTAGGTTATTATTCCTGGAGAAATCCAGGGAAAGGCTCCTGGTTTGTGCAGTCTCTTTGCTCAGTGCTGAATGAGTATGGCAAAAAATTGGAGATCCTGCAGATTCTGACCTTGGTTAATTACAGAGTAGCAAGAAACTATGAATCTCAGTCTGATGACCCACGCTTCTGCAGGAAGAAGCAGGTTCCTTGTGTGGTATCCATGCTAACCAAAGAACTTTATTTCTGTAAATTGGTGCCACCAGCACAGCACATTTAAAATACATAATGCATTATAACTTGCAATATATTTTTAATCCAAGCAGAAGGCAGTCATAGATCTAGAGTTAAAATTGATATAAGACATTTAAAATATGCAATACCAAGATTACCTCAGTCAATTAATATATTGATTTTCACAGTGCCATATGTTTCTGTGTTGTTGGAGGTGCCTATTCCTTCTTTCTATTTTCACCAGAAGCAATCACAATATTTCTCTGGGGTCTTCCTTTCCATCATAGAAATAGCTCATTTTTCCTCTATTAATTACTTTTTTAGATTCATCATTAATTTATAAGAATAATTTTATATATTTGTTAAATACTTCCATCTATAATAGGAAAAAAGTATTATCAAAGTTCATTTGATGATCAGTGATAAAATGGTTGAGAAATCATCCAAGGATGCTTGAATGCTCTTTTACATCCCAATCTACATGTAAAATCGCTAGGTGAGATCCATATTTAGTCTATTATAAATCCATTATTTTGTGTATCATTTGATTTCATTATTATTAATTTAAATTCCATAATTTCAGTGGGTCTACTCTAAGTAAGGTCCAATCTATTCACAGTAGTTCAACTGTTAATTTCTCTGTTCTCCCTGTTCTCCTTTTTTTTAGTAACCAATTCTTATAAATGTAAGATACATATAAATTTCTTATTTTTATCCAAAAATCCTTTTCTTAGATCAATGAACAATAAACACAGTTTACAATCTCTTTTACACAAAAATAATTTTGTATCAAAGACATTTGGTAGTATAGTTATGTAGTGTATAAATAGAACAATATTATAGGTTGTTTGATTTGTTCAATGCATAATTCTACAAAGCAAGTAAAAAAGAAAAGAAAATTATTTCTAAGATTCTATTTTCTTGTAATTATTTGCTACTGTTAACAAACCATTATTTTGTTCTCTTTCTCTACACATAATCATAGTCTTTGGCCAAAAGTTTCTCTTGCAATGTCTTCATCCCTTGTGGTAATTGTTGGTTTCTTATTTTCTTAATATACAATCAATATTATGTAACACAATGTTTTTTTTAATTTTTACAAAATGTCTTTATTGTTACTACATATTTACAATAGATTCACTTCATAGATTTGCAAATTTATTATACAATTAGAGTAGCTACTTGATAGTTTAAGGACTTTTCAAGTAACTTTTGGCCCGATATAGTTTTCAAATGTACAAACACATATATGCACTTATGAAAGTTCCTGAAATTTAACCTTTGGGATCAGGCATGTTGTTTTTGTTTTTGGCACAGAAGAGAAGAACTGGGTTCTATGATGACCTTGATGAAATGCATGACAACCAATCAAAGTAGATGCTATTTTGGGATATAGAGTGATTACAGTTCTGCACTTTTTTTTAATCCAACATTTTGCTAGAAAATAAAATGTAACTATGGAATAGCATTAGCAATGGGTACTGCAACTAAAACATTCTCAGTGACTGATTCAGTAACTTGAAGAATTCTTAGGAGTTTATCTTTCTGCTTTATGAAGGTATATTAATGTTATTAATCATAGCATGGAAACAGCTATCTCCATTCACTTTATAAGAATGTCAAATACTTTGAAATGCTTACGTTAACCAGCAGTTAACATAGGAAATTAATATAGACAAATTCCTTAGTTTATCACCAAATATTCACAAATTCAGTAAAACAGAAATTTTCCACTGTGTTTATGTCATTTGCATAATGAATTGTGGATTATGTAATTTCTGATTTAGTGGTTATTCAGCAATAACAGACACCCTGCCCAGTTGATCAGTTATGGTGAGGGCATATTTTTTAAGTTATCTGTATGTAATTAGTCACATACAGCCAATCTATATGAGCAAAAACCATGTTTCTTTGAAAATATGTTAATGAATTCCAAGGAAAAAACTGAGGGGATAAACATAGATATGCAATATGACAAATCTGCTTGTTAAGGTGTTTTTGTTTTGAGTTTTGGAAGAAGGCATATTCAGCACCTCATATCTGGAGAAATTGTTGGTATTATGCTGTATTACTATGATCAATCTGCCATTACAATATGTGCTTCTCTAGGTTTGCTTTGTATCTTCCAAATATGTAATCTATATTTAGTGCTCAAAAAGAAAGTCATAACAATTTTCCTGGAAAAAGGAGTGTTGGGCAGCAGTTGGCCAACTGCTATAGTAGTGGTCCTATATATTTGAAGGACACATTTGCATTAGAACATAAGTAGGACCCCTTACAGGAAAAAAATATCCTATTTGCATGATCTGAAGGTTATGTACAGTTAACATGATTGGGATTTGTTAATAATTTGTCATTTACCTCATCTTGCTGTGGAGTAGACGGAGGCAAAGGGAAAATAATAGTTCAAGTATCTTTCATTAATAATAGCAATAGCACTTAGACTTACATATGGCTCCATAGCCTGCAATACTGTATTCTAACCACTGTACCACCACAGCTCCTTCAATAAACAGGAACATGAAAAGAGACTTCCGGGTTAGATGTTGTGGCATAATGGGCGCAGGAAAATGGCGCTCCATTTTCCACATCCAATTTCGCTTTGCTAGGGACCCTAAAAAGGGTCTAAATTCGCCCCGGAGATGAAGAAGAAGGGGACCCTTGTCGATCGCGGAGGGGTGGCAGCCCTTCCGTTTGATCCAAAGAAGCCCTTCAAACTGGCAGAAGAAAGACGACACATTTATGTAGCCAGCCAGAAGCCACTGACAACCCAAGATAAGCACTAACCAGCAATCTCTGAACAACACGGATCGAAGTGGGTGAGAACGATCCTCTCTTTATAATTTTAAAACTTCTTCCTGGAAAAAAGAATTCCCAAAGCAAAGAATCCCTCAGATGATAGAGAGAAGGCGAATTTCTGCCCCGTTCTCTCAGAAAAAGAGAAGCAGTGAATAACTTACTTTGGGGGATAATTAGAGAAAACTACAAGATTAATTTGGATTTAATATAGAGACATAGCTTTGACAAATTTGGGGACTAAAAGTATTTTTAAGACTTTCTTTTTGAAAAGATATTTAGAAAATTGGTGAAATAGGTTTGGACTTTAAAGCTGGAAGATGGGTGTTAACAACATCTAGTGGTGAACCTTGGCGTTACAATTTATTATGCTTAAAGAAAATTTGGCATGAAATCTGGACATAGATAAGGCTCTTTGTTGTTCCTGGAAACTTTCACTTTTGCAGATTGCAGCTGGAAAAAGGGGGGGAATCTTGGGCTGTTTTATCTGTATGAAGGAGACAATCATTCTAAATTGGCCGGCCTGGATTACAAATATTGACTGACTTTTAGTTTCAAAAATTACCAAGAAATATTAAACAGTGGGGAAGTTGCTTCTGGACTATTTCTCTTTGGAAGAAACATGGATAATCAATAAGAAAACGTAAATCGACTTCAGAAAAAATTCTTTCCATGTTGAAATCAATTCAAGAGACAATTGTTTTAAATTATGAGGAGACTAAAAATAATTTAAATAACTTGCAAGCAAAAAATGTTCAGAAAAAGACCATAAAGAATGAACTAGCAACTCAGAAACCAGAAGAAAAAATAGAGGAAACTGACATAAAGATAGACAATTCGAAAGAAGAAACCAACAGACAGGCACAGATAAATAAAAATTTGGAAGAGCCAGATATAACATCGGAAATGGGAAAGACTTTTCAAGACTTCAGAACATACAGTATTTGAGGACAAGGAAAAAGAATTGATAGAATGGATGACGGAGCTGTTAGAAGAAATGCTGAAAACTGGGGAACAAGAAACTAAAAGAAAAGTGAAGGAGAAAGAAAATGGAGACTGTTTAACAAATATAAATGGATTAAGTGTTTTTACAAAAACACTTTAATTAAATTGTCTTTTTTATTCCAAATAATATATACAGAAACAGAAGAAGAAATACTTGATGACCTAAATGCACTGACATGCAAAGTTATTTTGCAAAGGAAGAAAGCTAGAGTAAGACTGAAGAAAATAGAGGTCCTGACTAATTAGATGAGGTATTGTACCATCTAATGGATGTTTAAATATGATTAAAAGAATAGACAATTGTTAGAAATAAAAGAACCATTATAAATTAGAAGGATGTGATTTGTAACTAGGATAACATAATTTTTCATAAGATGGGAAATATGAAAACACTAAGAGGGTCGGTATAAGGGAAGCTTTTAGTTACCCAAACGTAATTAATTATGAGAAAAATGATAATTGATAAAAGTTATTTTGAATATTGATGGGAAATTAAAATTGAAAACAAAAGAAAAAACTACGGATTGAATAAGGGAACTCTGATTGCAAACACATTTGAGATATGTTTTGGCTAGAGAAAATATTATAAACTGATATTATTGACACTAACATTAGAAACATGCGATGAAGATGTTTATATTTAATTGTATAGGTATTAATAGCAATAAGACTTATACTTGTATAGTGTGGAAAAATGGTTATTATTGGAAGAAGAGAGGACCAGGGAAATACTGGATGGTGTAATATTGGATATCCTGAGTGAAAATTAATATATACCACTGAATGATAAAGGAACCCACACGAGTTGTTTATTAAGTACATATGATTGTAAAACTTGAAATTAATAAAATATTTACCAAAAAAAAGGAACATGAAAAGAAAATTACACTGGGATAAGATAAAGGAGGAAATGTTGATATATGCTCCTGTTTGTTTAAGGAACCATGGTGGCACAGTGGTTAAAATGCAGTATTGCAGGCTAACTCTGTCCACAGCCTGGAGTTCAATCCTGACCAACACAAGGTTGATTCTTTTATTTGCTGCTTTTGTTTCTTCAAGTCAATCTTGACTGGATTGGCAAACAACTCTTGGCAACATTTTCAAAAGCGATTTGTCATTGCTTGCTTTCTAAGGCTTAAAGGAAGACACTGGCTCAGAGTCACTTAGCTGGCTTTGTGAGTAAGACAAGAGTTGGAACTCACAGTCCCCTGGTTTTTATCCTGGCACCCTAACCACTACACTCTGGTTTCTATCCTGATACTCTAACCACTATACCAAATTGGATCCCAACTGAATTTTTACATAAAATTTACATAGGATTCTTGCTGTCCCTCTTCTCCTGGCCATTTTGGTATACCATCAAGTCGTGTCTGTGCTTATTTGGGGGAGATATAAACAAGGATGCTAAAACGGTGGGGGGGATTCTGGTTTGATAGCAGATAATGGCTTATCAGAAGTATTAGACCTTTCCTTATAGCTTTCCATCTGCACTTGAACCAACAGAAAACCAGCAGCATCTTCTCATTCCTATATTAAATCCCAACTGTCCTGCTTTATTGGGGGATGGTGTTCTGATTTCACATGTGAGAACATGCTTCATAAAATAAGTAGAAAAATTCTCCAACTTGGTTGCTCTTCTTCAAATATCACCCCGTTGGACAACAATCCAGTTGCGTCAGTGACAGGAAAATTGACCTTTTTTGCTTCTGCACACTGTACAATGGGAATATTCATGTCCTTCAAACAGTTTATGCTAGACAACTAAACCATATCAACATGGCGTGCTTCAAATTGAATCCGATCTCTGTAGATCAATTAAAAGCATGCAAAGTCGCATCTAACACCAAAGCCTTTGAAACGTGCCTTAATGTGGAGAAGGTGTGAGATGTAATTCTCAGTAAGAAACCAAAGAAGAGCAAGTCTGACCATTATAAAAATGGAAACAAAACTGGTCCACTCCAAAAGAAGAAGCCTGGTAACCTATTATGTAGGGAGGAATAAAAAAAATTACATGCAAAATACTAAGAATATAATTTTTTTAAATAAGGACTACTACAATATTGGATTTAGTTACTGACATTCTTTTGCTTTCAATGGTCTTAAATATTACTAGCTCTCACCTTGGCTTTTCTCATGCATTTTCTGACTGATTTTGTTTGAAACTTGACAATCTCAGCAACTTGTGACTCTCAGGCAGCCCAGCTTCAACTTTTCTGAAAATAACTCATACAAACAATCTTGCCTACTGTTGACTCTGAATGAGACAGTAATGTCTTACTTCGGTTTAAATATTAGCTGAATCTGCGTCATACTTGGAAAGACCTCCAAATTAATCAACTGACTTACACAAAAAGGCCAGATAGGACGAAACAGCAGTTGCTAGCCACTATCCAACTTCTGCTGTAAAATTATTTTCCATCCAGTAAAATGAGATAGATTTTCTGATAACTTAAAGAGAAAAATACACCACACATTGTGAGTTAGAAATTTCCTTGAGCCAATCATATACCCCTGTGATTTTGGGAAAAGGAGGAGAGAGGGTATGGAGTTTCATTATCTTCACAAACTTGTGGAGTAAATCTGAGGGAAAAAATCTATTTTAAGCCAATCATCAGGGAAGCATGGGAGAAAGAAGCTCCAAGGTCTGTTAAATGCTGGAGAGACATGAAAAAGGAAATACTGTGAAAATCGATTCTCATGGTCAGTGAGACATCAAATAAGCACAAGTATCTCCATTATAAAAACCTACTTCAGCCTCGGTTCTTGGATAAGTGATTGCAGCTCAGACTCCGACTGAAGCTTGACAGAAGAAAAGAAGGAAAAACTTGGTAAATGAAAATAAATATGTGCACCAATTCTTTGTATATAACAACTAGCTTAGTTATTGATTACTCATTTATTTTGCAGTATTTGTTACCATCTCAATCAGGTTGGCTCCTGGTGAAGTTTTAAAAAGTCTAAAAATCACATTCAAAACAATAGCAACAGAAATAAAAACAGTACATCATAAGGGCCAAATGCTAAGTGGAACAATGCTACTTTGGTCTGTCCAATCTAACAGCCAATCATACTTCTGGAGCAAACTACAATGAATTCACCACTGAGAAGGCCTGACACTTGGACCTTTTGAACAAGTATGTTTGGATGGCTTAGTTAATTAACTAATTAATTATATGGCTGCCCATTTCACATAAATTACTCTGGGCAACGAACAGCAAAAAATTAAAAACCAATATAAACAGCATAAAACAGTAACTGAAGACATTCATAGATGCTATTCAACCATACTATCAAAACCGCAGGTGAGATGACAAAGCCACATTTTGAATGCCTTGCAGGTGTGGCTTAAGTCTGGTCTTGGCATAAAACATCTATTTTGTTCTTGAGATGGACTGAAATGCATTTGCTCAAAGATATGAATAGGATAAAGTCACATTTCTTGAGGTGCCCTTGAAAGGAGTAATGATAAGGAGAGCACCTGTGGCATCTGCATTGGTAAGTACCACCATATTGGACATTGACAAGCTAAGGCAGGTGGTGGAAGGAGGCAAGGTGGGCTGCTGCAATATGCAAAACCGGAACATGGTGAACACCAGGGCCATATGAGCTAAAATAGATAAGATAGGAAGCAGTATACTTGAACCAGAGAACTTTTGCAAATATGGATTGGTGCATTTGGGTTTAAAGTCTGGAAAAATAATAGCTGAGAATCCACTGATGCAAAAGGGAGAGAAAAACACTTGCAGTTTAAAGCCTGGATAAGACACGCACACTATAATATTGCAGTCGGCAGAATTTCTGCATATGTATGAATTATTTCTTGAGTGCAATAAAGCAAAATATAAAGCAGTATTCAGGAAATTGTATGAACATGAAACCTGAGAAGGTGACTTTAAGTAGCTTTTTGTAGGGTGTGGGAAGATTTGGGCAGAATTAAGATCTGAATTCGAAAAACATGAAAAACAGTGGAGGAGAGATAATGTTTTGTCCATTTGTTTAATTTCCATAAACATTCTTTTTCTCTTGCTTTTTTCACCCTCTTTCTTTTAGAAATATATCTACATATTATCCTCTGCAAGTCTCTCTCTCTCTCTCTCTCTCTCACACACACACACACACACACACACACACTTCAGTTATTTTGCTTTGCAGCAAAAAAAGGCATTTACTGAGAAGCAGAAAACCCCACTCCTGACACACAAGTGTCTTTCCCTGATCAGCTGAAGAGACACAGCAAGGAGAGCAAGATTCCATTTCAGGCTCCACAACATGTCAGTCAGAGGTTCCTTTCACCTTTCCCTTCTCCTTGGTTTTTTCTCAGTTCTGGATCCTTTAGGAGAGACACTGAAGCTATTCCTAATTTGCAGCTCTGGTTTTCCTCTGAAATACTGAGAATTGTTTCTCCATTGCAGTCACCTTTATTGTTCCCATGCCAATGTCTTAACCTTCTGCAAAATCCTTGATTAGCAAATCCGAGCAGGATACCTCCATAGAGGGGGAGAAAAGTATTGCCTCTCAACAGAAGGGAGATAAAGAGAAATTGTTTCAAAAGTTATCTTAATATTTGTGTCTCATACTTCTCTTTCTATCATGAATGATGGCTGTGTTGCTGGGCCAATTCAGGACAACAAGAACGTACACAAGCTTGACAAACAGGCTTTGTAGGCTGATAGAGCTGTGTTGTAAAATGCTATCTTATCAAAAACTAGGCAGTATCTGCGTTTTGAAAAATTAAGTTCTTCCTGTTAATTGTGCAGTCCATCATCTCCCATTACATTTGTGGAGGTATGGTGGGCTTTGCCTATAGCAGCCTGAAATTGCCAACAGGTACCAGTTGCGGTCAATCTTCTGCATTAGCAGTCAGCTGCACTGAGAATTGGCAGAGATATACACCAGATTTTATACATTTTATATTGTCTTAAATGTTTCAGTAACATCAGAATAGTGTGGGTTAAGGCTACTTCTGGTATTAGTTGGGGTGAGATTAAATACAGGAATTCTAAGCAAGCAATAAAACATTTTTTTACAGTTATTAGATCTACATAAGGAAAGGTCTATGGATTTGTTTTCTGAGAGTTTCCCTGCCTATGTAATTCATTAAATAAAGTATTTTGTTAGATTGTAATAATTGCAATCAAATACCCAACTATATCCTCATAGCAATTCATATCTGTCCTCTACTTGCTGTTGGAAAAGTGTTACATTAAAAAAAATGCTATGAGGAAATGAAGTAAAAAAAAAGCAAAAGAAGTATCAACCTGGATTTAGTAGTATTATTGCACCTGTTTTGTGCCCTGTCAAAAGCTTAAAACACTGCCATTTCCCGTATTTCCTCATTAAAACAACTTTCAGTTTTGACAGTAAAAGGGAATATTTCTCATATGAAAAAGTTGGGTATTTCCTTATGAGTCACAGTTAGGGATGTAATTAAGACTGATATAAAAGGACAGTCGCTCTGTTAACTAAATAATCCAATTTTAAATAAATGTCTCAGTGACATGTTTGGGCATTGCTGATCTCCAGCATGGCAAACATCCTATCCTGTAAGTATTGCTAAAAATCGTAACATTTATTTACAGCTGACATTAATGTGTACAATTTAATTTTATTCTTTTATTCTGTGTACAGTAGTTAAAGTGCAAAGTGCCTCACTACATTTTATTGTCACAAAATTAGGGTAAAACCCTCATAAATACTGTAAATAAAATTTAAAACATGAATAAGCTTAGAATTATCTTTTTTTTCCACCTTTGGAAGAGTTGTGCTATTGCAATTTTTTTTTATTGGACATGGAAATTATCTGCAATTAATGTTCCTGCTATCTTTTAGTGTTATAAATTTGGCCAAAGCCCCTCTTGTAAATTCACAAGTATGTACATACATAAGATAACATCCTTTAATTTTAAAGGTGTTTTGCCATCCCTCAGCCTGAAGCAAATTTGATATATAAAGGGCATGAGCAAAAGAAATGACACAAGCTTACTCTAATATTGTTTGATGTATGCCCTATAAGACTAAGAGTTTGGAAGATTTACCATATGGAAGAAGACAAACTAACTGTCCAGATTCAAAGGTACTTTATGTTTTCTTTAGCTTATCTACAGTCTTGGTTTTTTTTAAAAAAAATCATTATTTTTAAGTAAAACATATTATTTATAATAAACCTTTATAGCAGCAGAATTATTTAGATCTACAATTTTGTAGTTTGAAAATAATTTTTATACAATGCCTATTAGATTATTGTAGCAGGAATAAAGTGCATAATAATTTATTACTAGACATGGAACAACCAAAATTATATTTAGAGCTAAATTAGATTCACATGATGTTGGTAAAATTTAACATTTCCATAATTTCTGTTACCAACTGTTGCATGGACGAATTTTTCTTATATAAGCAATAATATACCACCATTCTTTATAAAATAATGATTTGCTATTTTTCATGGTGAAATAATGGCTTTTATGAGAAACTTTCTCAAGCAATGATATAAACTAGATCATATCAAACCATTTAAATCTAGAGATATTATATTGTAAAAATATTTCATTGTTCAGCAATTACTTTAACTGGTAAAAATAAAAATATTTTCTTAGCAGTATTTTATTCTGCTTACTGTACATGTATAATAATTCTTAACTTTGGAGCAAAAAAAATCTTCTGTTTATATATGACATATTATTAAAAACTGTTCAAGCAAATATTTGAATAATTTTATTCTTGAATGAATCCTTTTTTGAAGTTCTTTTAATAAATTGGGAAGAATGTTTTGCATTAAAAGTCTTCAATAAATTCTTTTTGTCTTGGTTTGTTAAACTTCAAAAGTCTGAATTTTGAATTTGAAGAACTTATACTATGTTCTTTTCAGATACATGCAATTTTGGAGAGATCATAAAGTCTTATTACAATATGATGTAATCTATCACATTGTCATTCTCAACTTTTTTGTTAACATGTCTGATGTAGATGCTGCTTCATATGTTAGAATCTTCAACATCTACCTGAGATATTTTAATATTTATATTATTTTCTTCATATTTTTCATGGCAGAAGGCATTTTTAGGCAATGATAAACTTGAATATACTATGAGCAAAGTCTGATGTCTGTCTGTTTGTTAATTCTTTCATAAATATCTGATAAATGTTTTTATCAAGGCAAATCATCCCCCATTCCCACTTCAAGTTTTTCTTCACTTCTTTAAACAAATATTTGATTCGATTGGAATCCTCTTTTAAATAATATATTAAGAGTGCTTTGCATTTTAGCTTTGTCTTCTTTCTTGTTGGAGGATGACTACTAATTTCTTATTTTTGGCTCTTTCAAGTATATTTTTATCCACTTACTGAATGGTTGATTCTAAAGCACCTCTCCTAGACTTGCTGTATTTCTTGGTTGTTTTTTGTGGGATATCAATTCAATTAATAAATAATAAAAAGAATGAAACATGAAGAGCTTAAAAAAACATTAATTTTAAAATAGTAGAAAACCAACATTTTGAAGAATAAGGAATGTATGTCACTTGAATATCTTGAATGTTGCAGTTGCCCAACAAAGCTGAAACAAAATATTTGGTCATAAAGGAGCTTCCAGCACTGCACCCTTAATAGGTACCTTCCCTGCACTTATACTGGCTACCCTCTAAACCAACTTAAGAAAATCCTGTCAGACTGAGATATTTCGGCAACAATTTGGAACCTTTTCAATCCAGGCAACAGGCTACAACATCTTCCCACTGGGCAAGTCACCTGCTATCATTTTGATTACCATTAATCCCAATAGAACTGCTTCTTGTAGACAACTTTTATTGAGCATATGTACATTTATGGGTGTATATGTCTGCATGCATGTATATCTATAGTGGTCTGTGGGAATATATTTGAGAGGCAGAAGAATGAAGACCCACAGGCTTAGCAATAGTCAGATAAGAGACAGTCCACAAGGAATGAGGGACATGGTAAGCATCTCAGAAGAGATACTCCCTAATTCCCCGGAAAGTAAAGGCAAGGAGGAAAAGATATGCTTTCAGACTTTCAACCTGACAAAAAAAAGTAATGTTATTTCTCATAATGTGAGCTTCTTGTTGGACTAATTCAAAGGGCTGAAAAATATGGTTTCATGAATTCCCAATTATAAGTTTAGTTCTAGGCACCCTTTCTTGTAGGCTGGTATTAATGTAAAATGTATTCTTCATATAGTGGAAATGAATAAAGAAAAGATATTTGCTATCCAGGTTGTCCCTTTCAATCCTTGCAAATAAAGAATTGTTATATATTATTGGTACATTTGGATTTTGACACAAATGTGATGGAATAGAAAGAGGAAGAAGAATAGAGTTTCAGGGTAGTGAATGATTATTCTCATGCTAAAATAGGCTTTTTTAAAAAAAAACCAAAAAAAAAAACCTCTGCAGTTCTCTTCATTTAATTCCTTGCAGAAATGGAACTTTTAGTGAACACTTGATGTTCTGAATTTATTTCTAGAGAAAAACAGAGAAAGTTCACTCCAATGTAGCAACTATATATATCCACAAAATTCTCGTCTCTAATGAAATGAGTAGGAAATTATTCTTGTCCTGAAACATCACTGCTGTAGAGATCAGTGCCTGGCTGGTACTCTTCACTAAAAGTACTGTGTTTTCTAAGTACTTAGAAATGAGACGGGGGGCAATGCACATGAGTTGCCTTCCAATGATTATGGACTATATTTCAAATTTAACACATTGTCCTGTTGTTTTTTTATCTTGGCATTGGCATTCAAAAGCCATGGTTCCTTTCTTCAGACCAATCTAATGTATTTCTAAAATATGGTGAATTCTCTTCAGCATAGAAGTTAGAATCAGTTTTGAAAATCTTCATTTTGACTGTAATTTTGCTAGTAAAGTGGCATTTACTAGTAGACCTACTGTATTTTTTTTCCTCTCCTTTGCCTCTAGACAGGCTTTCCAAAATAGTTTAAGCAGATTAAAGGATCTTTGTGCAGGCAAAAGACAAAACTGGGGAAAAAGGAAGTCCTTTTCATAAATAAATCTGTTTGCATAATACTGAAGTCCTTTGAATTGTTCATTTTGTTAATACTAAGATTTTTATCTGCAAGGTGAAAGAAAAGTCAGAATTTCATATATTGCTAAACAGTCATATATATCAGTTCCTAAATCTCTTTTCCTTCTTACAAATCTTTTATCAATGCAATTCTTACAATTCTAATCTCAAGGGACTTTTTGTTGGATTTTGTTATTTTGTTGAATTTCCAGGATGGTAATTGATTCTTCCAGTTTTTTTTGTTTTGTTTTGTTTTGATTTGTTTTGATTTGTTTTGTTTTTGCACAATACTCCAAGGAGCAACTGTTCTTTCTGGACAAGAAAACTATAGAAATAAAATATCACATTGTTATTCTTGGCAAAGACCACATCCTTTGGGAAAAACTGAGAAATATATGAGGTTTTTTGTTTGTTTTGGCATATGAAAGCATTTTATTTTATTGCAAGTATATGAGTAACTTAAATTTAAATAAGATTGACAACCAATATTGGTTACTATTTGATAATATTTTGTATGGTAATAGTTTCTGTTTGTATTAAATAGATGAATAGGATTAGTGAATTAGTGAATCCTGAAAGGAAAAGTTCTGATTATGATAGCCTTGATAAACAGTGAAACTCATCTTATTAAAGTACCCTTTAACATTCATTCTTTGTTTATTTTTCAGGTTGAACTAATAAACAAATATGGATTCTACAAGAAGAACTAGTATTGGTATACAACTAAATTTTAATGTTTTTGCCTGATTCCCCTTTTCACAGCATTTTTGATACTTGATATTTTTCAATATATGTCTTATTCTATTTGCCTTGTTCAATAAATGCAGTCAGAACAAGTTTATATTAAAGTTATAACAATTTATTATAGCTGCCATGCTATATTCCCACACTTTTTTCATGGTGACATTTGATCCACATCTGAAACCTAATGAAGAATTTGGCCATGGACATTCTTAAGCCACCCAAGAATCAGATTTTCATATCTAAAGTCCTGCTTTCATTAAATTGTTACTCAATGAAGCAGAAAATGCCCCTTGTCCAGGCTTTATATTTTACCCTTTATATTTATTACACACTTCGGAGATGTGGTCTAGTTGAATTTGATTCAACCTGAGCTCTGCTTCTTATTTCATCAAAAGTTATTCACGTATATATTTTATTTTTATTTGACAACATTTTTCAAATGCTGCTCGAGTTTTCTGTGAATAACAAACACATTTCAACACGTTTAACCATTTTTGTGAAGCAAAAGGTCAATTTGCTAAAAATTTTGTTGAGAACAAAGAGAAATTCTGTTTGTATCTGTAGCCTACCATTTTCACTCAAATGTTTTATGCTATTTTCTGATTTTCAAGAACTAATGGGACACTTCCTGTCCTTGTTCATGTGCCTTGATAATATGCAATAGTATAATAATCAATAAAACGTATCATGCAGCGGATGAAAGGAGCTTATACGAGAAATGCTTTCTCGTGCTTTCATTTGTATCTAGCTTCAGATCATGGTGTCTATCTTTTTCGCCACCTTCATTGCTTAACTATATAACATTACTCATATTGAGATTAGATAATACATTATCCTTCCAAATGTGTTTTTTCCAAAGTATTTTAATATGGTTTATCATGGCATAAATTTAATGACCTTTTTTTTTCTTTTGACATATATAGTCGATTGGAAATCATACAATAGAGATACAATCATACAATGTGTTTGGACTGTTATTACAAACACATATAGACATCACATTACTCTCTTTCAGAGTAAGCAACATTTGCAAATGCAAGTGTAAGCAATAGTAGGGAACACAAATTAAAATCAAGAGATAAAATAAAAGGAAACCTAATTCAGCTATTTTGCATAAACACCATCTTGTGTACTTTTCTGTATATTTCTGTTCTAGCAAACAAATTCATATGTGTACTTTGTCCCTTACATTATCCCCCAAAAACAACCTTCTTGGTTTTCACCTTCGTTTCAATGAATTCAGTCTCCTTTCATATATTTGTGATTATATCTTTATCCTTTGTCTCTGAATGACCAAAGGTTCTCAATAAGTCTTTTTATATTCATTCATTCATCTTTATATTCAGTCCACATAAGTTTATCACCCATTCATAACCTTATCTCTTACCACTCTGGCTTCTTAAGTACAGTAACCATTTTCTCGTAGCTTCAATTTCCTTTTGTGAAATTTTCAACTTTAATGCAATGGACAGAATCAGTTTAATATGTACATATAGCTATTTTTACTTTTTTTTAATCTTCATTCCTTCATTCCAGCATTTGCGTATCTGAAAATTTCTCCATTCATTTCCTCATTTTTAGGAAATATTATACCAAGCTACACAAATTAATCTTCTTATTCTAATCTTTTGCCATCTATTTTTCTTGTCCCACACTACAACTTCGGCCTGTAGAAAATTCTGGCTGTGGGAATGATAGAGTTTGAAGTTCATACATCTGAAATATGCTGAAACTCAAAAACACTGTATTAGAACCTCATTTTTATTTTCTCCAAAACCATGCTTCATTTTCTGTGTCTCTTTTATCCTTCTTTGTTTCTTGTTCCAATATACATTTTGCCTACTTCCCATCTTCTAGGAACTTTTTGCAATGTAGTGACATATTCAGGATGTTTTGTAGCTGTTTATTTTTTAAAAAATACAGAATACCATTCCTTGTTTATTGCAGTTACAATTTTGTTTCATGCATTTTTAAAACAGAGCTGGACAGTGAGTGAGAAAAAATAATGGCTTGATGATACTTCAGGGCTAAAATTTGGTTGTCCAGCATTTAGCATTAGTTTTTGTGCAGGGATAGCCATCTCTTTTTATAAAACATGACTTTTTGTTTTTCTTTCTTAGGAAATTGTGACGACAATGTCTACAAGTATGGTTTCTTTATAAAATCACCACCACCTCAACTTTTTAATAATCAGGTACAGTTAAGAAAATGATAGCTTTACTATCATCATTATCAAAATACATTCCTAATGTGTTGGTTTTCTACTAATGCATGAACTTGATTTTTCCCCTTTGTGTAGAGTTCCTGGAAAAGGAGATATTTTATTCTTTCTCATTCTGCCCAAAATGGTTACATCTTGAGCTATCGTAAAGGCCAGCAAACAAAGGGCCACATTGAAATTAATGAGTAAGTATTTGAATAAGTCTATCACAGTTTATTTTAACAGAGTTACTAATTAAATACAAAACTTCTGATGCTTAAATAATACAGGATGCTGCAATTTCCCCTGGTTCTATAATACATTTTTGTCTAGATTATATGATATGTGGCTACAACTTCCCTATGGAACAGCTCCCTGACCCCAGTTCTTTATGGTCCTAACCCTGTTTCACAAACCTGGCTTTTTCAAAAGATTCTGACACATGATGCATTATGATAATATTGAATCTATGTTTAATAAGCGTGGCTATGTTTTGTTTTATGCTGTGGGATCATCATTATCATCTTGTATTTTTTAGTCCTAATATCTAATTTATCTCGATTTGCTGTTTGATCGAGGTAGCATATAATAAGCAAGTACAGGTAGTTCTCAACTAACAACAGTTCACTTAGTGACCATTCAACATTACAGCAGCATTGAAAAAAGTTTTTCACACTTATGACTGTTGTAGAATCCCTACAGTCATGTGTTCAAAATTCAGACAATTGGCAACTGACTCATATTTACGACAATTTCACTGTCCCAGGTTCATCTTTTGTGACCTTCTGACAAGCAAAGTCAATGGGAAAGCCAGATTCACTTAACAGCCATGTTACTAACTTAAAAACTGTCATAAAATGGGGCAAAATTCACTTAACAAATGTTTCACTTAGCAACAAAAAAATTTAGGCTCACTTGTGGTCGTAAGTCTAAAGTTACCTGTAAGTAAATAAATAAGTAAATATTAGAGAGCAAGTTGTAAGGGGACAGTCAAATAACTCCCTCGTGCATTAAAATAAATGCGAATACTAGAGTTGCATGAGTTTAGTCAAATTCTGACTATATACAGTAATTGTAGGATCAGAATTATGTCTTCACAAAAAGGACCACTTTATGTATGTGGGCTTGAAAACCCTAGATGATCATAGGCAAAGAGTGAGGAACTATTATCTTCCATCTAATAGTTGCCTGGGTTTTTGTCACCTGGGTGTGATAGCTCTATTGATTGCCTAAGAACTTCTTTGGGCAGGAATTTTCTGTACCAGATGTAATCTACAAACTTTATCTTCTCATATCTGTAAAACTTAATGAACATTCCTAGTAACTGCCTTGATAGAATTAAATCCTGAAATGTTCCTAAACATTTATTAAGCGTCTGATATCTTTGATTCACGTTCAGTTTTTAAACTCATGGAACAGGATAAGGATTTGAGAAACAATTGTGTCCCAAATCTAGTCTTCCACAATCTGCTCCCATCCAGAAGTTTCCAAAACCAAAGTCCAACTAACCCAGCTAGCAAAACTGTTGTTTCAAATGCAACGCAGGCATTCTTAGAAAAAATGTACTTTTTATTGTAAGAATTTGTTTTTAAACAGTCACAAATTAATAACATTTATTTGTTTACCTATATTATTTGACAGGGCTTCAAAAATAGAAATTGGCATAGGTGACTCTGATAAAATGTCTGTTGTGAAAAAGATGTTCAAGTGCCAGTCCACTGAAGTGATCAGTATCACTACAGAGAACAGAATATTTTACCTTATTGGAAGAGATAGGTAAGTTCACAATCCTTTTACGGACATGGTTTTAATTTGTTATAATGTTAGAAAACAAGCACACCAAAACTTTGAAAATGGACCCTTAGACTAAAATATTTCTGGGGTATGAGTATGTGTTTAAACACATCCAAGAAGGAGGTACTTTACAACCTTGAAAACTGCATCTACTATGAAACTGTTCTTATTGATAAGATGTTTCTTCTAGCATTCAGCTATAATCTGCTCCCTATAATTTCATATCATTATTCTGAATTCTGCAGTTTGCACAGAGGAGAGATATTAACTGCAGTCATAGTTCAATACTGTTTATGACAGAGTTAGATTCTCAACATTTATGGCATAAGGCTGCAAAAGAGAAGAGCAAAGTGTGGCGAACACTTGCTCACAATTATGGGAGGAAGGAAGGGAAGAAAAAGAAGGAAAGAGAGAGAGACAGAAAGAAAGAAAGAAAATATATTTTTCATAATTAAATAAAATTATTTTAAGAGAAAACTATTTTCCACTATTCTAGAATAGTGGAAGTTCTATCATGAGAAGGGAAAAATGAGCTAATTCTTGTGAAATCAATTCTAGTGGAATATTTTCTGTGGCTCCTTTGAAAACTATCTGAAATTCAGATTTGCGCTGCACTTTCGCTATGGGAGAAAAAATAGTTATACTTAAAAAATCCATATTCTCTTAGACATATCCTATAATTAAGCCTTTTCTTCCTTTTCCCCCAGAATTCAATAAATTCTTATATCTGAACAAACTGACTCAGAAACAAAACTGAAGGAGTTTTCCCCTCCCCCTGTTTATAATTATAATTCTTCTCAGATTAAAAAACACTACCAATTTCCTTAATAGTTACTCTGAAAGAATTTTAATTTCTTCCTGTTTTCTAGTAAGATCTTGTAAACAAAAGGTGTGGTACAAAGAACACTTGTTTAGAATTATCTTTGACCTTTGTAATTAGGTCATCTAGAACAGAGTTTTCTTTAAACAATGGAGTTATATCGTTCTTTTGAAACATAATGTTAGTTTTAATGTTTTTATAAGCTTTTATAAGTCAGAAAGGAAAAAAGTTATTAGAGTTCAGTTGCCTTCATCAAAAATAGTTATTGTGAAGATCGATTGGTTATGGTAAATGAAGGGGTTTTTGCAGTGAAGTCTCAAGAATCTCCTACATTCGTAATCCCCATTAAATCCACCATTAACTGGATTGCTGCATATAGAGTTGAGCATACATTCGCCCATGTACAGGAAGAGCAAGCATGCATGATATCAGTCTCTGCAATTCATCTAAGCCAGAGGTGTCAAATTGCTGGCCCGCAGGCCGGACATGTCACGCGGAAGCCGCGCCCACCCCGTTGCCAGCAATGGCAAAATAGTCCCAATACGTTGCACGACGTCACGTTACATCGTGAGTTTGACATGTCTGATCTAAGCAATCAGCCAAAAGTATGAAAAAGGGCATGTCATACCTACCATGACCATATATTCTCATTACATATTTGGCTGGAGGTAGAGTAACTGGAAGTAAAGAGAGGCTATGAATGCAGAGAAATTGGAGCAGCAAACTGGCTCCCACTCCTGCACCCACATGCGTAGTTTGTTTAAAGGAGAAATTGATGAAGAAATCTCTATTGGATAATATCACTGGCTCCATAGAAGAATTTCTGTGCAACATCAGAATTATTGCATATCCTTACTACTTTGGTGTTTTGATATCAATTGAAACCAAAGGATAATGTATATTTTGTTTAACAGGCCAAAAGTGCAGTTTACAGATTGATGTCTCAAGGATTAAACTCCAAATTATTGCAAGAAAGACTAGAAATCAAATTTGAATACTATGCAAATGTTAGATCTCCAGATTGTGAAAGGCTGCTTCATAAACTGAATAATCTGATACTTTGGCCGCAGTATTATGTTTGGTTTCCAGAAGAAAAATGCCCATTTAGAAGAATGGGTTTGCACTTATGACTGCAGCATTCACTTAACAACTGTGGATTTACTTAATTAGTATGGTGATTCACTCTCATAAAAATGGTCTTTAAATCAGCTATCTTACAATTTTGACTTTGATTCTGGCTGTAAATTGCAATTTGAGGACTACCTGTATAGGAATCATTTTGAAAAGCATAATTTCTTTCACCATCCTTAGTCTGATATCAATTTTTAATTAACAGAAACTGTCTGAGGGTTAACATCCAGCCCACCAATTAAAATATCATCTTTTCTTCTCCTATCATTTTTCAGCAAGAAAAAAGACACCATTAGAATAATTGGGCAAATAGAAGAATTGAACTCGAGCCATCCTCAAAATAATTCATGCATAAAATAATGGAATCACTCAACAAGTTTCTTTTTTAAAAGCACCTTGGGCCCTGTTAGACAATTCATTTCATATTTGAAGAATCCTTGGTGTTGTCTCCAAATATCTGTAGTCTTATAGCTGTTGAAATGATGACCTATTCCAGTGATGGCGAACCTTTTAGAGACCGAGTGCCCAAACTGCAACCCAAAACCCACTTATGCATCGTCGGGTGCCGGGTGGGTATGGCCCATTGGGTGGGTGTGGCCCATTGGGTGGCCGTGGCTACAGTGGTAATGGCAGACTGGGTGGGACTAAAAAGTGCAATCAATCAATTCCAACTTTGCAAGATCTTTTTTTTTCTGCGAGAAGTTGAAATTGACTGATTGATTGAACCTTTTTTTTTTGTACACGGCGGCGGAGGCCTAAAACGAAACAGTTTTATAAAACCCAGCTGAAAGCCCAGGACTCGGGCGACGGTGCGAGTGCCCACAGAGAAGGCTCTGAGTGCCGCCTCTGGCACCCGTGCCATAGGTTCGCCACCACTGACCTATTCCTACAAAAATGAAAAGATAATACAGACACTTACATAAACAACAACAGTTCATTTATTATCTAATTTACATAGCAACCAATCTCACAAAAAAGTGACCCTGAGTGCAGTGGTGGGATTCAGCCAGTTTGCACCACTTCGGCAGAACTAGTAGCTAATTTTTTGTTGCCCAGGCCCAGAATGAACTTCCGGAAGTAGCATCCACACAGAGAACCAGTTGCTCACATATCTGAATCCCACCACTGCCTGAGTGGCAAACAAAACAAAACAACAAAACAGTTTCCCTTCTTTTTTAAAAAAAGAGGGTGGGTGAGTAAAATTTCTTTTAAGTCAAGCTTGACTCTCCATAGAAAGGCTGAATTTTACTGGACAACAATATTAAAGTGGTTTTCCTGTTTATGTTTGTGGGATTTTTTTTCCAATTTCCTATTCTAGCCTACAAATCAAACATTCAAATCCAAGGGAATTTCACTCTTCCAAGTCATTGTGCTTAATTCTGAAGTCCAGATAGGTGCTGCAGCTTGCTGCATGCTTTTTGATTAATTCTGAAATTCAAAGGCAATGGCAAAAAATGACAGAGTCATCCATCTGGTGGAATGTCTAAAGCTTGTGAGCATCATCTGGACTTTTTTTTTTTTTAACTTCTGTTACTCACCAGGCAATGTCTACACACTTTCATTTCTCACTCATGTGTCTGTTTCTCTTTTGTCTGTTTTAAAACATTTAAACAATTCTAGCAAGGAAGTTGAGGAATGGGCCACCTTCCTATTTACATTGTGCTCAGAACAACAGGTAAATTAATGTTTTCTTTTGAGTTACACCAAGAGTTTATGTTATTAAAATACCATATTTAATGTTTCTGGAGAAAAAAAAAGACAAAACTGTTAATTTTCATTTGCCTTCCTTCTTTTCCAACCACATTCTAGTTCACAAGAAAACTTGGTATGCACACCACATAGGATTTTACTACCAATTGTTGCCAAAAGCTTTAATAAGGCATCAGATTACAGAAACCAGATTTCAAATTATTAGCTCAAGAAATGTCACTTTTACAAGCAATATTGTAAATCTTTGAGGTTGATAACAATAAGCCCATTCTTTTCCTATTTGCCTTCATTAAAGGCAGGTTTACTTAAAGTTCTTCCCCTTTAGTTAAGAATGTGAATCAATTTCCTCCACCTATTCACATTTCACTTTCACTGACACATTCTGTGAGGAAAGTGGGTTCCTTAATCTCCTGAATGTTGACAAGATAATATTTACATAATTTTTATTTGTGTTCCATGTCCAATTTTAAAAGACAGGATTACAACACATCAGCCATGTACTATATTTCTTTAAAAGATTTATACCCATCTTAAGCATCTCTGGTAGCTCACAACAACAATGAAAGCAATAACTAAAGAACAAGCAAAAGTAATAACTATAACAATCATAAAAACAGTAAAACAATAAATTAAACTTATACATAAAAGCATGAACTAAATAATAATATAAGGAAGACACCAGATGGTTTATGCAGACCGTGGCTATTGTTAAAATTTAGCAACCTTCTTAAGTGTTATATGAAGTTTTGAGACAGCTTAACCTAATCATCAATGTCCCATGTTATTAACAATCATAAAACTGGTTACTAGTGAGTATTTGCTATTAAGGGAAAACATTTGTTTCTTTTTTATTTATTTATAAATTATATTTATATAAGTGCTGTGGGTGGTGTACAGTTTTAAAACAACATACAATACAGTAAAAAACAAAAAACAAAAAAGGTAAAAACCCAAGAACTAACACATTGAAGTATTAATCAATTTTTCTCCGTGGCACATATTGGGAAAGAGCTGGGCCTTCAATCAAAGGGCAGCACACCTGGGACTATTGTAACCTTGCAACACACCAGTTGCATTGTTTCCAGAGCAGCACCAGAACAGAAAAAGGCTTATTTAATCAACCTCTTGAATCAAAAGCCAGAATGACCCCTGCAGCAGAATGTTTAATAGCAAGAGCTCATAATATAATAATGTAATTTTATATCCCAAAGTAATGTCTCTTCACCTAGAAAAGACAATGTGGAAGTTTTCAACACAGCAAAATGTTTGAGGATTAAATGACAATGAATAAATAAAACAAGCAAGTAGAGCCTCGCTATCTTTTGAATAACTTTCTGAACATATTTGCCACCCTAATTGAATGGAATATAAAGTGAATTTTATTTATGGGTATCTGAAGTTTCAAAGAAAGAATATAGCCATTTATTTATTACACAGTTTACACACTGCCCATTTTTGTGGATCTCAAGTAAAGTAGTTTACAAAATAAGGAAATGTGTAAAATAACAGGAGCAAGTAACAACTAATAATCTGCCTACTTGCCCCAAAAAGCTTGCAGAAACATATCTTCAGCTGTTATGATCAACAATTGTTATGATTTATGTAAAGTATATAAAGTTTGCTGCCTAAATTTTGAATCAGAAACAGAAAATCAGAAGTCGGTCCCAATCTGTCCCAGCCTGTCTTGATGAATTGGATATTACCTCTATCACCAAAATGGATCAGTGTCTTGGTACTAAATATGAAGTAAGTGTTACGTGTTTAATTTTTAGACACACATCCACTTTAATTGCAAGCCAGTTGTATAATATTATGTGGCAAGGGGCAAAATATTAAGAAGTCAAGAAATACCCGATCCTAAGAAATTGGATTTTATTCTTCATTCTTTCTTCCATTAGTTACTCTTATATTCCCACTAAGCATACTTAGTCATTACTAGTTTGTTTTAGAAGTTTTGGAGAGGGATGTACTTGAGCAGACTTTCTTCCATTCTTATGATAACTCTAGATATATATAAAATTTTTATTCAATACTTGAGGTGGCATGGCAATAAAACAAGGATAGCAAAAACTTTCTCTTTTCCTTCAACAATTCTTATTTCTTATCTGAGATGGGCCAAAATCATCAGTTGGGTAGCATCCCAAGCATACTGGCTGGAAATCCTGGGAAATCCTGGGAGTCCACACTTCTTAAAGTCCCCAAGGTTGAGAAACATTGTTTTCGGAAAATTTCCTGTCTCTTCTTTCACAGTATGCTCAATATTAACAGCATATCCTAGCTGTGCCATTTAAAAAAAAAATCACCCTTTTCTTCTTCAACAATCATAACATATTAAAAGTAAATTAAAGCTAAAGTGTCTGTTTATATTAATTCTTATCAGAAACTCTATCTCAGATTTTCAGCTATCACTGTTAATTAAGCAACTTGAAATAAAGCCATTCAGTGACTAATTATTTTCTTTGGGGTATAGGACATAGCAACATCAGTTCACAAACAAAGGCCAAACTCAGATCCTAGTCCTCAAGAAACCCAGAAAGAACTACATATTTATGAATCCCCGGGAAAACTCCTACGCCGTCTGGTGAGTTCAGAAACTGATCCTGGATATGTTGTCCATCAGAATTATATGAAATATTTATTAATATTTAATTATTTGCAGTAAGGGGAACAATTTCACAACCTACCTTCCTTCTTTCCTTCCTTCTTTCTTTCCTTCCGTCCTTTCCTCTTGCCAATTGTTGCTTTATTTCTGGCTCTTTTTACTCTTGTGAGGCTCCAAATATGGTGATGTTTGACAAAGGAGTTAGTATTAATGAATGAATGTTTAGTAATACAATGCAGTATGCAGATGTTTCGCTATTTGGCCAGAATATTTATACAAGATAAATGTGTATGGGATCTATGCATTAGCATAATAATGTTCAATAGTTATCTAAGCATTTTACCATTTACCATTTACCTTTTAAAATTATAACAATAGCTCTTGTTACTGTACTTAATATATAGATATATACCAACTGGCAGAGATGAGTCTTAATTTGGCTTTTCCCCCACATTATAACATATATATTTTAATCAGTGACCTCCATTTTCTGATCTTCATTTCTGATCTTCTAATAAGGAAGCAATAGGTACCTCACTGTTTTGCGGTGATTTTTATAGCTGACATTTATTTTTATCTTCTCAAATATTTTTGAGTAAAAAAAATAATTAAATTATTGTTTTAGAGGCAACTGACAAATACTTCATTTGAAGAACAGGAAGAAAAAGAGGAATATTATGCTTCTCCATCAAGTATTTTAGCTGAGGTAAGCAGAATGGCTTGATCTCCCATGTTATCAATGAGGCAAGCCATGGACTAAGCACAATACGGATGTTTGCATAAACAAGTACAATCGTTCATTTTTAACATGTTATTTATTTATACATTATTTATGTAATTATTTGCATGCTGCTTAACCAATTTAGGAGGGTTATAATCATAAGCGATAAGCATCTGAAAACATCACAGAAATATAATCAACATAGAAACATCAAATCTCTAAGTTTTTGCCGATCAGCAGTTTTAACTGCTGTCCTGAACAGCATAAAGAAAAGGGCCATTCTGACCTCAGGAGGTAAGCTATTCCAAAGCAAGAGAATGATGTCCAAAAACATCTTTCATCAGGTCCTTCCCCTAACATTCAAGGTTGGGAGGCCATAGCATTTCCCTCTCAATTTACATGCATTTGACAGGGACATTCTACCCTAGTCTTCCTTAGTCTGAACTGGCCAAAGACACTCTAGCACAGTGGTTTTCAACCTGTGGGTCGGGACCCCATTTGGGGTCGATTGACCATTTCACGGGAGTCGCCAAGCAAGGCTGTCCACCATTTTTTTGGTCCGCCATTTTTTTGGTCCGCCATTTTTTTCCCCTTTTCTGGCGGGTGCCTTACCTCCCTTGGGCTGGGCCAGCTGGTGGTCGGCCTGCTCCATCTCTGCCGCTTGCCAGCTACGTTTCGGCCGGCGCAGGGGGCGGCGCTCCTGGGCCTGCTCCATCTCTGCCGCTTGCCAGCTACGTCTCGGCGGTGCAGGGGGCGGCGCTCCTGGGCAGGGAAAGTCCTCGACTTACGACCGGTTGGGTAGTCCTCGACTTACGACCGGTTTAGTCCTCGACTTACGACCGGTTTAGTCCTCGACTTACGACCGGTTTAGTCCTCGACTTATGGCCGGTTGGGGTCATGGCATTAAAAAGGTTGAGAACCACTGCTCTAGCAGGAGCCCAGGAGAAGCCTAAATTGTGTATCAAATCCTTCAAGAGAGTAATATCCTTAAATATCCTGAATGTTTAAGAATTGGGTCTGCAATTGCTGCAATTGCTGATTGGTGTATTAAGCTTAGTGTTTCAGCTCTGTCTTCAATTGGCTCACTAAATTGCAAACATTTAACCATCACCTCTTGTAAGCCAGTATGGTCCAGCACACCATTGACAACATTCCATCCAAAACTAAAGTTGGAACTTCCTTGACACAGAGGAACTAGGGGTTTTAGTCTGAGTCTGTTCAATCCCACCTAGTCCCTTACATCTTGCAAATCCATTTCATCTTCTGCTCAGCCTTGGGTAGAGATATATCGGTAGAGGTCATTAGGATACTAATGATAACACCAAACAGATTGAAAAAGATTAGGAGAGAAGCCTTCATCCTATATTATAATGCCCAAATCTCCAATTTCTCTTCCCCCATTGTCACAAAACAGGATCTCTCTCTCTCTCTCTCTCTCTCTCTCTCTCTCTCTCTCTCTCTCTCTCTC